TAATAATTGATATATATCTCTAATACAATAATCCCAACGTAAACGTAAGAAAGTAGATTCGCATATTTCTTAATTAAAAGATGTAAATGATTAAAAGATTCTACCTGTCTAAATGTGAAAAGTGGTTTTTCCTTTCCGCTAGTGTTATGACTAAAAAGAGTTAAAGAAGAGCCAGATGGGCCAGAAGGACTGGAAGGTCCCTCCATGTCCGATGAATCGCCACTGTTGGTCTGGGGATGAAAGTGCAATTGTTTACGTCGCTGCAATCTGCGGATTTCTTCTCTGATGTTGGCTGCCATCTTTTCTGTATAAACAAATGTGCAATAACATATATATAGTGTATATACATATAGATAGTATTTATATTAAATATATAAATTAACTCTCAGCAGAATGACAATTAGCACAAAGAATGTTTATCTGTTTATAAATATTGTATTTGTAAATAATAATATCAAAAACAACTTCTTGTCCTTTTGGCAATGAAAAAGATAACAAAATGATGTAAGGAAATATTTAAATTTGAAAATTGGAATATTTACCCAAATAAATACTGGTGAGAGTTAAAATTTCAAGCTTTCCAATAAAACTTAAGAGCTCGTTCTTTTATTCCTCTCACATTTAATTTATATTAACATATCTATCAACATAATAACATGAAGAATCTTATATATAACACAACCTAATTGCAAAATAAATTTGTAAAATATTTTAATCCCTTTTTTTGAACATTTTAAATATAGTATCGTCCAATCGGTGTCTAAATAATTTGTTGTCCAAATAAAATAACTATATAATATTATATAAAAAAAATATATTACATTATAATATAATAACCATGCCATTCAGGTACGTCGCACGCTACACAATAACGTCTGATAAGATTTGGATCACAATTTAAATTACACGCGTATAGCTTTCCGTTTTTGTAAGCGCGCTTGTAATAATTTAATTTTGCAACAACTTGCCGCCGCGCCGTCGCGCGATTGGATTACTTATCGCTTCTCTCACAATTTACTATCTGCCCATTCCGCTCGCGGCTTATTTATTTTACGCCTCATTGTCAGCTGGCACAGTTCTAACGGGCTCATTTCGTTTCTCCCGACCGCGGTTTTCGTGCTTTCCGCCGATTCGTTCCACAGGTTTAACGACTTTAGCCCGCGGCGCGTACCCGAACAATGCTCATATTCCCCTGTGATTCCCCATCTTTAACATACTCCTAATCGCCCAATCATGTCTCTCGGGCATCCGCACTGACAAGGCGGACGTCAGCGATAACTCTTCTTCAAAAACGAAACATCACTTTCAATATATATCTATATATACGTACATACATACACACATGGATCTTTAGAGTGCCGCGTTACCATATACATATATGCCTATACATTATGTCTTGTTGCGCGTGCATGGAAAGTAGAAAACGCGTCTCCCCGGGCGCAGCTCCGCGCGTTTCCTCTCGCAGGAAAAATCGCGGAGGATGGGAAGAAAAAAAAAGAAAAAGGGTGAGACGAAAACCCGAATCCCCCGAGCGCGTCCGTTACAACATTACCATATGATTTACATGCCCCCTCCCCCATCTTCCCCCCTTGAGTATGGACTCTGCGAATACGGGTTTTAAATCGCTAGAGCTTAGCCGCCCCTACTCGCCGTCTCTCTTTCGCCCGCTCCTTCCTCCTATCTCTTCACGCCCCTTCAAGCTCATTCCCTCGTACGCAATGAAGAAGCGTGCAAAGGAGAAAGAGAGATAGAGAAGGGAGCGAGAGAGAAAGAGAGAAAGAGAACGGCAGGAAGGCACGGGGGAGAGGAGGGCGAGAGACAGAGATAAACACACGGGGAAACGCGACGGGTGCGACGGAGAGCGGGAGAGAAAAAATGGCCGTAGCCTGCGGTGTAATTACCAGGCGTCAATTTGCTGGCTATCTCGCCGAACGGCGACGGTTTCTGCGGCAGCGGGCCGCCGCGCGGCGACGACGCGGACGCGCCCGGCGACGCGCACGACATCGGCATGCACCTCCGTCGCTTGCTGGGCCGGCCGTGGCTGTGCACCGGGTCGAACTCCAAGGACCTCTTGAGCGTGGCGCACGCCATGGTGCTACTGCTGTCGGCGCTGGTGGCGCGGCGTTCTCGGGCTTAAAGCTTACCGTGGGTCGGGTCCCCCCGCGTGCGCGAGAGGCGAGAGTGCGACTGACTGGACTGACACCCAACACCCAGTCGGGCACGGGCCGTGGCCCCCCCCCCTGAGGGGGGTGGTAGGGGGGAGGGAGGGGCACGGGGCCGTCGACGGCGGGCGGCCGTGAGAGGGGGGACGGGCGCCGCGTCTCGCGTGACACCACGAGTCTTCGTTCCAACGGCGTGATACGGACACGGCGAGAGGGTTCCTCGTGGACGCACGGCTTCTCGAAATCTGATCGGCTCGCTCGACTTCACGGACAGAACCGTAGCTGGTGTACGCGCGCGCGCGCGCGCATGAGAACAACGTCGATCGACGCGCAACTTCCACCGACAAAACAAATACTGCGCTCAACGCGATGGCAATATGGCCGTCGTTTCTGGTTATGCGTAGAGTCTCTATATATAGAGACTCTATAGGCCTAGTTTACACCGATCACTTGATACGCGTATTAAATAGTAAATAACTAGTAAATAAGTCTGATTATTGGCTGATCAGTTCAAATATACTATTTGATACGCGTATCAAGAGATCGGTGTAAACTAGGCCATAGTCTCTGAGTTTCCTTGACTCTAGATGCTCGAGTCCCTGTTTAGGTTTAGGTTGCTTATACCAAAAATTGCCTTTTGACACGGGCGAGGACCAATCGCGCCACATCCAACCACGTCCTACGCGCATTTAGGGTGCATCCCCATGGAGAGAGAAATAGCGGAACGGAACTAAAACGGAATTCAGATTGGTTAATCTCCAGGTGGGGGCTTTCAAAATGGGATATTGGCCAATCAAAGAAATTTCGTTTTAGGGCCCAGGGGATTGATCATGTATCTTTTCCCCTAGGACGGAAACGTGAAAAGTTTATCTCTTTCTATTCAACACCAATAGAAAGAGATAGTTACATGAAACTTTTCACTTTTCACGTTTCCGCTCTAAGGAAAAAGTTACATGATCGCTACCCAGACACACACTTCTGCACAACGCATAGCGTAAGCATAAGAAAATTGATTGGTCCATACACATGTGCATAAGGAAATAGACCAATAAATTTTCTTATGCTTATGCTGGGTCTACAATGCGAGTCGCAAAGTCGTGAGTCGCAAGAATTGACTAATCACAGTCGAATTTGAGGAGAATAATCGACTGTGATTGGTCAATTCTTGCGACTCACGACTTTACGACTTGCATTGTAGACCCAGCATTACGCATTATGCGTTGTGCAGAAGCGTGTGCTCCCCGCTTTAATTCCGTTCCGTTATTTCTTTCTCCACGGGGATGCACCCTTAAGGTGGAAGCACATAAAATTGCAGAAGCCATGAGCAGAATGCAGAAGCCATATGCGCATGCGCTGTGATATCTGTAGAGCTCTACAAATACCATAGCGCATGCGCATATGGCTTCTGCATTCTGCTCAAGGCTCCTGCAATTTTATGTGCTTCCACCTTTAGCATCCCCTTGGCGACATCAGTCGCAACGTGTAGACTTATCGTAGAGGAGTATTCGGGGAGACGCTATTAACGCTATAAACGCAAACGCTATGAACTTCGTTCGAAGAGCTAATAGCGCGACAGCGATAGCAAGCTCCCCGAACGCAGCTTAAGCGCCAATAGTATTTCGTGCCTCATCTCAAAAATAATAGCGAAAATAGCGCGAGTGATGACGTCACGCTGCCTTTACAGTGACGTCATCATCGTATATCACAGCGCCACAAAGCGTCTCCTCGAACAGTTTTGGACGATAATTGTGCTAATAGCGTGCTCCCCGAATGCACCCCAAGCGTCACTCTGTATGCGTAGTGGAGGGGGAAATCCGCTGGCGTGCGCGGGCGGCTGGCTCGAAATTCGAAATCGCAGCACTGCTGCTCGCTGTTTGACGCTTGACGTGTCCTGTCTGAATCCATTGCAGCTTCAGCCTTTACTTGGGGTGCATTCGGGGAGCACGCTATTAGCACAATTATCGTCCAAAATTGTTCGAGGAGACGCTTTGTGGCGCTGTGATATACGATGATGACGTCACTGTAAAGGCAGCGTGACGTCATCACTCGCGCTATTTTCGCTATTATTTTCGAGGTGAGGCACGAAATACTATTGGCGCTTAAGCTGCGTTCGGGGAGCTTGCTATCGCTGTCGCGCTATTGGCTCTTCGAACGAAGTTCATAGCGTTTGCGTTTATAGCGTTAATAGCGTCTCCCCGAATGCACCCTTGCACTCGAGTTGATTTCTCTTTTTCTCTCCAACGTGAAAAGAAAAAGAGAAAAGACCTTGCAAATGAATTTTGCAAAAAGTTGAAAATAATAGATATAATATATATAAAGCACGTAATTAACGTGCGGAGTACAGAGTACATTCGCGCATGCGCCGTACGTAATAAAATACGGAGCGCAAAGGCCACTCCGCAAGTCCGCGCTCCACAGTCCGCACAGTCAGCACAGTTCGTAGTGTTCGTATACACCGATAATGTTGATATTCACGGTTTTCGTGGTCGAGCGTTAATTTTAACGCGGACGTGTCTAATCGCGTGCGGGCGCGGCACGATGTCACAGTGAAGAGCGGCACCGGTCATATTTTCAGGACCTCGGGGAGAACTCGTTCGGGAAAGGCGGACGTGCATGCATGAGTGCGAGCGTGCGTGCATGCATGCGTACGTGCGTGCGCGTTCGTTCGTGCGGGCGTGCGTACGTGCGAATCTCCTCTCCCCTACGCATCGCCGTCGCATCCTCGTCGCGTCGGGTCGCGTCGCGTCGTACCTCGTACTCGTACGTCGTACGGCGGCGGACGCGCGGTAGAGAGGACGGATTGTAGGTTATGAAAAAATCGCGCAAACACTGGACGAGCGTGAGTAACATATCGACAGTGTGCCTGTTGAAGACGAGGCGTAATCGCGCGACCAGTCTCGGGGACGACAGTCTGTTGAGCTTAAACATGAAGGAGCAGGACATACCCGAGTACCTGGAGGGCTGCGGGCTGTCGGCCTGCACGGCCAGCAGCGACATATCCGAGGACGTGGAGTTTCAGATGATGCGCGAGAGCAAGGAGAAGAAGTTCTTCACCGCGTCGTCCCTCGGCAGCAGCAGCAGCAGCCTGGTCGACTCGAAGAAGATCGTCATGGTCAAGCATCCGGACTCGAACAAGCCGAAACCCACCACCAAGAGGGGCAAGCCGATCCGGGCGGAGCTGGACGTGACCAAGGAGTTTGTTCGCTGCCGGGAGGAGTGCGTGAAGCGGCTGGACCTGAGCAAGGCCAGCATCACGAATCTGCCGAGTTCCGTGAAGGAGCTCAAGCACCTGCGGGAGTTCTATCTCTACGGCAACAAGCTGGTGACCCTGCCGCCCGAGATCGGCTACCTGGCGAATCTGGAGACGCTGGCGCTGAACGAGAACTCGCTCACCAGTCTGCCCAACACCCTGGAGAACCTGACGTCGCTGCGCGTGCTGGATCTCAGGCACAACAAGCTCAACGAGATTCCGGACGTGGTGTACAAGCTCACGTCGCTCACCACGCTCTTCCTGCGCTTCAACCGCGTCAGGTACGTCAGCGACAACATACGCAACCTGACGAATCTCACCATGCTGAGCTTTCGGGAGAACAAGATCAAGGAACTGCCCACGGGGATAGGGGAGCTGGTCAATCTCATCACCTTTGACGTATCGCACAACCACTTGGAGCATCTGCCTGTGGAAATTGGCAAATGCGTGCAGTTGTCCACCTTGGACGTGCAGCACAATGAGCTCCTCGACCTGCCGGACTCGATCGGCAATCTGGTGTCGCTGACGAGACTGGGTATCCGATACAATAGATTGTCGAATATCCCGAAATCGTTGGCGAACTGTAAGATGATGGACGAGTTCAGCGTCGAGGGCAATCAGGTGTCGCATCTGCCGGACGGTTTGCTGGCGAGTCTGTCGGGTCTCACGACGATCACCCTGTCCAGGAACAACTTCACCTCATATCCAGCGGGTGGCCCGGCTCAGTTCGCGAATGCCTATTCCATCAACGTCGAGCACAATCAGATCGACAAGATACCCTATGGCATTTTCTCGCGGTCCAAGCACCTCACGAAGCTGAACATGAAGGAGAATCAGCTCAACGCCCTGCCGCTGGACATCGGTTCGTGGGTGACCATGGTCGAGTTGAACCTTGGCACAAATCAGCTGCTGAAGCTCCCGGATGACATACAGTGCCTGCAGAGTCTGGAGATACTGATACTCTCCAACAATCAGCTGAGACGTATCCCGACCACCATAGTGAATCTGCACAAGCTGCGGGTGCTCGACCTGGAGGAGAACCGCATCGACATGCTGCCGAATGAGATTGGCCTGATGACTGAGTTGCAGAAGCTGATCCTCCAGTCGAATCAGATTACCGTGTTGCCGCGCACAATCGGACACCTGAAGAACCTCACGTATCTCAGCGTGGGTGAGAACAATCTGAGTTACGTGCCGGAGGAGGTCGGCACCCTGGAGAATCTTGATGCGCTCTACCTCAACGACAACCCGGGCCTGCACAATCTGCCGTTCGAGCTGGCGTTGTGCAAGAATCTCAATATTATGGATATTGACAACTGTCCGTTGTCACACATACCAGCGGAGATATTAGCCGGTGGCCCGTCATTGGTGATTCAATTTTTGAAGATGCAGGGGCCCTATCGACCGTAATTATTTTATTAAGGTTGTTGTGTTTTACATGTGGTGCAGAGTCACGTGGATGTCGATTCTTAATCATGAAAGGCAGAGAAGGGGAGGGAGAGAGAGAATTAAGAAGAAATTGTTCAATGACATACGAGAGAAATGTATTTATAATAATCGACCATATACGTATGTCGATTTAAATTCTCATTCTAATGATCTCATTTTAAATATATAACGAAGTAATGAAAATAAACGCTACCACATTATATTGTATACAACGAATCACACAGATTATTTTGTTTCAATATTGTAAGGAAAAATATTAAAATATCTCAGACTGCAGGAAAAATGAAGTAACGTGTAATGTAAAGATAACACGACAGATAACAATTTTATTAAATCATGTAAATTATGAAAGATATAAACCGTATTATATATTTTATATTTGCACTTTTAGTTCACGTTTTATATTTTATCAAAACATATGATTCGATGTTGATGAGAACGAAACTTATACAGTATTGCTAAAAAAATACTGTATAAAAGTATGTTTTTACACAGTGCAATAAATCGTTTTTTTTTCTTGATATACATGAAACGTAACAGTTCCACTTGATATATTAATGTCTTAAGTTTGTTTACTAAAAATATTTATTTTACATTTGTTACAAACATATTATGCATATTGTATTTTTATTGCTAACAATCGGTTTAATACTTAAAATAATTCCACGTTTTAATATTGCTCTTGATAATAAATTAATTATCTTATTAGACCACAGAAAGTATTTTACGAAGCAGATGACTGTCATAAGAGATATTTTAATGCGTATATTGCAATTATTTTTTAGAACTTATTGTTAGTAAATTACATGTAACAAGTTACTGTTATATTCCATGTTTATTGAAAAAGTTAAACAGTTTAGAAATATTTTAAATCATAATTATCTTAAACAACAAAATTACGCGACAGAACACGTGATCTCACGAAAGAATATAATAAATGTCCTCTGTCATATAAATACAAAGAAACAAGATAAGATTTTTAATCTACTAAATGATAAGTGTTAAGAATCGGCATCAGTGACATTTGCTATATTAAGAATTTTGGTTAAAACTTCGTAAAAAGGTGAAAAAAGATATTTCACTAAAATATTTAAATCAGGAATTGTGATTGCGAAACGATATACGTAAATTTACACACTTTCTCATTCTCCAATGTCGTATACGCGGTATACTGTTTCTCATTTGTTCATACAATATACAATATAGATGTAAGCTCTTCCATAGAAAATCACTCTATTACAGAAAACTATAGCTTTATCAAAAATTCCATACCGATAATGAAGATTACACTGATATGCCTGTATAGATAAGAATTTATATAAAGAAAGAGAAAAAAACAACAATGACCTATGCGTATGAAGCAAACGGTGTACAGACGTCCAGAATTTGAGATTTACTTTTATTATGTAATTTTACAATAACGAACAACGATTATGCGTTTCGTCGAGATTCACAGAGTAAGTGTAAGGTGAACTCTATGTGCAATTATTCCTATACAAAGTAGCGCGAAATTTCTCACGGTAATCCGCATCTCTCTCTCTCTTTCTCTCTTTCTCTCTGTTTAAATTAGATAAATATAGATATATGCTGGAAAAAGGGGGAGTATCCGAGCGTGAAATGCATATTACGGTTTGCAGATCATCAAAGAAATTTTCGATGCGACAAAGTGGTATTGGACAAGGAAAATGATGACGGTGAAGATATCCTGTAATTGTACAAAACGGACGGAAATAACGCGGAGATCCTACTCTATTTCATTCATACATTTTGCGCGACAATTAAAGCAACGAATTTGTTCCAGGATGTGCTTTCATTAGATTAAAGAGATTGCGCTGCCAAGTGTAAGCATAAAAAAAAAATAGAAAGAGGCAGGAGACACATTGAGTATTTTCCTGAGATTATATTTTGCTAAGTTCCATAAAAAAGCGATCGATTTTACGGCTAAATTTCATCTCTTTTTCTTTCTTCCCCCTTCTCTCTCACATCAACGTTGTTCTGCTTTTGTCTTCGCACAAAGAAATAGTGCCAATGTAATTATAACGTTACATGTATTATATATCCGTAAATATATTTGTATGCGCGTTCTATTATTAATTACAAAATAAGTATTATCGTATGTATGTCACATAGATAGGCTCGCATTTAACGATGTGCCTACAGATCTTACGAATCTTGAGGTCTTCTAAGATCTTTATGGCTTATCGATTTCTTCATTCTGAGTAGTCCTTTCACTTGTGTATATGTTACTGAATTGTATTTCTCTATATATGTTAAGTGGCGTAGCCGTGTAACATGTACAGGCTACCGCGCGTCATAACTTAGCGACTGTAATTAGCTAATTCGTCCTCGTTACATCATTTATAACGTCTTATGGCTTACTTAAATGTCGAGTCTTCGTTATCGTACATTTCAACGCTACACGCGATTGTGTAATTTAATTAAATTAATTTAATTAGAATTTAACGCTTCTTCGGTAGGAGGTATAGTTTTATTTAATATTAAATATGCGAACGTGATCGGAATTATCGCACGCTTCGTTAATAACTATCGCAAACTGAATCGTAATAATTACTTTTTGATACGTGTTCAATCGTAAATCAGGAATGTCCGTGATCTCTCTGTTAACGCGCGATATACGCGAGAATATACATTCGCCGAGGATGATTTGCGAAATTAGAGAACGGCTTACGCGTATGCCTTTCAGCATTGTTTGCAAATGCTAGATCATTCAGTGACCGCCGACATATCAATTATCAACGCGTTCTATAATAATCAGCTAACGTTTTGGTACTGTGAAAACCTCCGTGTACCGTAACTGAGGGTATTAATTCCGCGAAAAAGGAAACGTCTGCCATGTCAGAGTAATCTTTACTGTCCGTGAATAGGCAATAGGTATATCTTGTAAAAAAAAAGAAAAAATAATTGCAACTACTATGGCTGTGTAATAAAATTTTTATTCAAGTGCTGCAATTATCCCTATAATATCAATTAATAGTCGTTATCACGTATTCTTTTTTTCTTTGTATATCATAAATTTCAAGCCCTTATTTTCTATTGCGCAGCAGTTTTAGCTAGAAAGGGACATTTTCTTCGATGTCTATTGAAAGCCGCTCGATAATCAATTATACATGTATGTTATCCTGATTTTTTTTCTTCGATCTTCGACGTGACGAAATTTGAAATGAAACAGTTACCATTGTAATTTGTAATTTACCAATTCCATCGTTATTCGAATAAGCGATGAATTAACTAAAGACTCTCGATATTAAAATTAACGAGTAATTAGGAAAAGTGGGCTTTGAGATTGAGTCAACGGTTAACAGCTGGATGCACCCTGTTGTTTAAAACCAGGTCCGTTTTTTAATTCATTGTATTTTGTGTATCATTGTCTCGATTATATCAACCACCGTCGTTTCAAAAACCATTTCAATTTCCGGTGTCTTTTCCAAGGTTTCAGCTCAATTAATCACGTTCTCTGGACTTGTTTTAGTGAGTGGATTTTACTTCTCTTTGCCAGTTAGTCCCAATTTCTATTTTGATTCATTTCTATTTCGAATATTTTGCAGACTATGAATATTAGCAGAATTTGTCTGATATTTTTTTTTTTGAAAATTACATTATCTTTGTATACTTAATTTTTAAATACTCACCTTATGCTCGTCGGAGAGTTTAAAATTATTCAATTCATCTATTACCACTCAAAGTAGAGCCAAAACATATGACTTATAATTTGTATTAAATCATTAATTAAATGTTACGTAACGTTAACTCATGCACAATTAACTGCGTTTGACTCGAAGCTCATTTTTTTCTTTTTTTTTTTGCTTCCTCATAGAGGAAGCTTTGTGATGGTGTTTTACTCATTAATTCTATCGTTATTTTATTAGATGCGTTTCGTGATCTATTATCAATTATACAATCCATTATCCGTTATTTATTATTGTGCAAATTGTCAATCCTGCACATGACGATACTTGAATCTGGATTTGGAACTCAACAAATTCTCCGTTCGAAAACGAAGTTAACAGAAATATTTCTCCGCACTGAGGTTCAATGCGTGACAAATTTTGTTTCTATATATGATTATACACTTTATATATGTGTGTCTATTTGTATGCTACAGTATGTATCGAATTTTTCTGAAAGAGCGGAATACGCACCTCGCAAAAATCACGATGAGATTCGTCTCTTGACTTTCCATCTTAAAGTAAGAACCTTTGTCGCTGAAAGATCATCGTATGTAAAATACATTAATTTGCAAGTTCTTTCCATTAGATTATACCCCATACAGCACAGATTATTGCAGAAAACTTCAAGAAAGGTTCCAAATCACTTGAAACCTTGAACTTTGAAACCTTTCTGGAAGCTTTTTGCAACAATCTGTGCTGTATGGGACATACCTATACACGGTTCGACGTTGTCGGGCTGCGAATTAAAAGTGATCAATGATGAACTCGTTGGTGAGTCTCGTTTTACAAAGACTATATTACCTTGTAATCTGTTACGACGATATGAGCGATGCGACACGCTTGCGTGGGGGGGGGGGGGGGGGAAAAGACACTGTAAAACTTATTTAGTACAACTTAAAAATGCGAACGTTGCGAAAGTTCTTGCTAATTAATGAGTATGTCAGATATTTTAAGTCTGAAAGTGAAAACTTCTTTCATTGTATATTATGTAGGATAAACGTTGCGACACACATATATTCACTCACACACATACACATAACACGGTCGCCATGAGCTCCCACTTACGCGAACTATTAATAGTGAAATGCGTCTTATCGAAGACGTAAACGGTTCATCGATATTAGACAAAAGATTTTCTTTTTTTAAAGTATGACGTAATTCACTTGACGTTATGTAATGTTATGTATAGAAACAGTGCGCGCGTACACCGTGCGCGTTATCTGGAATGGAAATCTTTGAATTTTAGTAATAATGTAGTTCCGTATATCTATTGCTTTTAATGTATTTTACACGTTACGTGTTGTCTATATAATTACAGAGATGTGCGTCAATGCTTTTGTAATGTTTTTCATGCACTGTGCATCTCGATTATTAAGTTGATTTATTGTTGCAAAATGTTAAATGAAGGAGTTAAGTGAAAATATTAAACTACGCGGTATCAATATATATATATATATATATATATATATATATATATATATATATATATATATATAGGTCCAGAGGTATATTCCGGGACTGTTTACGTTTTTTGAAATGTACAGTCCTGGAATATAACGATATCAAAAATAAAAGTCCCGGAACATACTTCCGGACCTACATATATATATATATCAATATATATATATATATATATATATATATATGTATCAATACATATATATATGTGCGTACATATATTTTAATATATATATAAATTAAAATATTCAAATTAAAAAAAAAACGAAAATAAATAAATTAAAAAGAAATATTTAAATTTCTAAAATCTTAGCATTCTCAAGTTTCTCAAACAAGAAAGGTTTTCGAAAAAATATAATAAAAACATACGAACATTAGTATGTTCTACATTTAAAAAGTACAATTTTAAAAAATATGTTAGATTGATTATACGTTAATGTTTTTAAGATATTATCTGAGCGATCGTGACGCGGCGATTGTTTAACAAATTAGTCTTTAGATATTGTAATGAAAGTCTTTTGCATGTGGAAAATTCATCAAGCCATTCACATGTAAGTTGCCAAGATCGCTGATATGGTATAATCCATTGCGATAAACTGTTAAACAGTTAAAAAAAAAAGAAGCAAAAATTGATAAACACGGCACATAGTCCACGTGGTTTGCAAGCGATAAATTTACTGTGACGTTTGCAAACGCTCAGTACACTATTCCGAGAAAATAAATGCTTGTCGAATAGTCTATTGCGCAACACACGATATTGTGTTAATTGTGTACAATTCCAAGAATGTAATATTAAATGTAATTCAATGTACATTGTACGCGGAATGCTGTATAGATGTTTCTAAACACGCAAATATATTATAAAATATTTTCCCGAGATTCACGCACGTTTCTTCGATTCTTCGCGCGATCTTTTCCCGATCCTCCTGACATTCGTTTAAAATTTTTGTGTTTTTTTTTTTTAAGTTATTTTAACATTTTATTCTTGGATTATAATGTAACGCAGCTAAGATAATAATTAAAATAAATCGTTATAATGACTTTTTATTTTATATTATAATAAATTTGTAATATCTATATTGGAAATCAAATTCTTTGGTCATCTTTAAACATCGAATATGTGCGAATATACTTGTCTTGATTGTTAATAATAATTATTGCTTATGCTCACGGTACTCTTGAAATCTGATGGAAATCTTGCTGCGTTTCTTTAGAGTAAAATTTTTGAACTTCTCGTTGCTCGTGAACTGTAAACATTAAAACGCATGCCTCGTTATTGTTGCAGTGTAATAAAATAGCCAACAGAAAAAGGAAATAATCCTGATTACCGTATTCGAAGTGAACATAATACTTCTTTCAAGGGACAACTGAGGATAATTCGTAGGAGTCGTAAGTACTAATTTCTTCTTAGGCGTAACATCCAATTTGTTGGTCTCCACTTGTTCTGCAGAACCAATACTCATATTGACTTGATATTCGCAAAAATCAATCAAATAGTATTTCAATAAAAATAATACGTCAAAGAAATATTTTGCATCGATCAAATTAAAAAAAAATAATTAAATAGATTTGAACGGTTTATCATCAAAATTATAGATCTGTTTTCTATGCTGAATTAGCTGCACTAGTTCAGAGTTTATCTTTTTTACTTCACATTGGAAGGAAAAAAATAAACTCTGAACTCGAGCGCAGCCAGTTCAGCAATAGAAAACAGACCCTATATTGGAACGATTTCGTACTTGCGTGGCCTGGATCATTCTTATATCGTTTGATTTTATTTATATCATTAGGAATTATTTCGTCGTATATCGGCATCGATATCGTTACGCGTTTGCACAAAGACTCTGAGGGACGTATCAGTCTACAATTAAGTAACAAATATTATCATTATGATGATTGTTTTAAAGCGTCAGTTGTACCCTCGCTATGTATAATATCGTTATAAATACACCATACGCACCTCAGTAATTCTGTAATATTATCCGAAGTCAGTTGCAACTTTCGTAATTTCGTTAAGGCGCTTTCCACCTCTCGTTTGACGTCCTCTCCCTGATTAAGATCAATCATTTCCGCTTCGATAACTTCGATTTCGTTCGTGAGATCAATCAGCTCGGAGTTCCTTTCCGTAACTAACGGAATTACTTTCGGTTTAATAAGCGCGTGCGAATGAAAGAAGCCGAATCCTCTATATTTAAGGATGTATGTCATATATATATATATATATATATATATATATATATATATATATATAGCTATATATAGTATAAAACACAGGTTTTTGAGATATATAAGTGCACAATCTCTGTAAATTTCAGCTTTATCCTGTTATTTTGACATAAGTGACATACATCCTTAAGGGTGACCCGAACTTTGATTAACTTAATCGGCAATTAACTTAGCAAAGTAATACTATTTCGTTGATATAGATAGAATTATTAATTTTTTATTGTTTAATATATTATATGAAAAAGGATTAGATTAGGGAAAACTAATTATATAGTTAAATATTGTATTTTAAGTAATTCAGTCGGTTAATTAAATCTTCGATTAACTTAATCAAAGTTCAACCGAATAAACTGCTGATAAAAATTTTTAATCCTTATTATGTGATACCTGTACCATCTTTACAGTTGCTTCTTTGCTTTGCACAGTCAATAACGAAGGGGTGATATTGAAAGATAGCAGAGAAATCATGTTCGCGCGAGAATTGCCATATCTGTTCGCACAACGAATCCTCCAGCGACCACACTTGATAATTTAATTCCTCCTAAATTGAAAGACAAAAAATATCCCGTGCATTTAATAGTTCAGTGATCTATTTATATTACAATAAATAACTGATTATTGACTATTTAGCTCGGTAAAAATTGAATTTATACAACAACCTGGGAAAAAAGTTTTTATATATATTTATATATATAAAATATGTCCATATATATGTTTTCTTTCTCTTGTATAATCTCTGATTCGAATATACAAGAAAAATAATAGAAAGAAAATTTAAAAAATAATTTAAAAAATAATAATTATCGCATTTTTTTCAAAAAAGTGAAGTTTGAAGAAGTGAGAAAAAATTACCCATGTATGTATATATAATCACATATGTATGTATATATAAATGTAATAATCGTATATGAAATATAATTACATTCGATTATACATAGAATATTGTATTTTCCTTTTTGTAAGAAAAACAATGCAAAAGTTATTTTTCTAATTATTTTTCAATTATTCTTCTTATTAGTTTTTTAAATGTATTTATATGAACCGAGATATGAACAGAGTTTATACAAGAAAAAAAAACACATAAATGTTATGTATAAAAAATGTTTCCCGGGAACTAATTAAATTTATATTCAAATTTATGCTTAATTATATTTAAGGCTGCGGTCCACTTGACGCTACAAATGCTTTGGAGCGTTCTTCTTCTCCTTATTCTTTCTTCATTGAAAGAAAAGAGAAGAGGAATGCTTCGAAGCATTTGTAGCGTCAAGTGGACCGCAGCCTAAGTTTGTACAACTATAATATCTTTTATAAATTAATATGCAACCACACAATAATAATCATTTTTTTTTAATTCTTTAACAAATTTTAAAATTATTTAGTTAAAATATTGTTGGTTTATTACCAGCTTTCGTTTTTCTTCCTCCAGTATCTTTTCTCTCTCCAGAAAACTGTCCTGGTACATATTTATTGCGTCCTTCATGATTCCCAATTCTACGCTTTTATTTCCGTATGCGATCAGAGAAGGATAAGGGACAGGATTTCTCGCGGCGTTCATGGAAGCGACGTCCTTGAAATCGGTCATCTTTGTTGTTCGCCACATCAAAGTAGAATGGAACTATCTAAAAATTATAGCTATATATATTATTACAAAATTGCGGGTACGTATACAAAGCGTTCCGCAATGGCTTCGTACAACGATTTCGAGTTTACATTTAAATCAATGCATAGATTTATAACGTTTTCTACTGGGAAAACTAGTGCAACACTGGTGCACACTGGAGTGGAATTTTATTGTTTTAATGTAAAATAAAATCAGTTCACATATTTTTAGTGTTTAATGTTCCACTGTGTTTAATTTGACAAATTTTTATCAGTAGAACATTAAACACTGAAAATGCGTAACCTGATTTTCACATTATAATATATAGATATAGAACAATAAAATTGCACTCGCATTGCGAGTCTCGCAAGTGTGCACAAATGTTGCACTAGTTTTCCCAGTAAAAAATTTTTAATTTGAAGTCGAAGACTATTCGTTCATGAGCCGACTTCCGCCGGTATTCGACCTCTGCGGCCAAGCGATTGGTCCACAATTCGACCAATAAGCTTGCGACTTGCGAAAGTCCAATCGACGAATGAGGAACCACTCCTGTCGCGTCTCGTGACGCGCATTGAGAACCGCGTTCGTCGATTCCTCGGCATGTAAACAAATTAATCACAATCTGTGAATTAATAAAGTTCAAAACACGAGACCGCATGCGAGATCTCGAAACGTGATTTACAACCGTGCGTTCCGAGGATTCGAGGATTCCGAGACTTCTTGCGGGCCTTGTTACGCGGTTATTGGAGGTTAAATACGCGGGAGTCGGGAACGAACCGACCATGAACTCGAACGGGATAAAGCTGATGAAGAAAGCGTAAGTTATACTTTCGACGTAGTCTCGCGAGATCGGAGGAATAGATTTTCCAACCGTAAACTTGAGATATTTACGTGTCGACGACTCGACGACGGTCCATCGCGTCGAAACGAGGGACGTATTGTTGTAGCGACTCCTCTCCAATTTTTCTCTTCGCGTTTGCAGCGACCCGTATCCGCAGGGGGTGCGATGCCAGAAGTGTCTGGAGATGGGACACTGGAGTTACGAGTGCAAAGGCAAGAGGAAGTACCTGCACAGATCTTCTCGCACTTCGCAGCTGAAGAAGGCTCTTCAGCAGAAGCAAGAGGATAACGATAAGTATGTTGTTTGAGACCTCTTATTACGCACAAACGTCCCTGGACGTTTCCTATTGAATTATATATCCTTTCTAGGAAGGAAAATATATCTTGATTAAAAGGATATTTTACTTAGCAAGCTAGAGTACTTTAGACAATAATGTTTTCAACTTACAACTTAGTCAGCTTATCTCCTTCTGACTAAGCTGACTAAGAATCGTAAGTAAACCCCCAACAATTATAAAGACAAAGTTCAGGAACTTTTTAAACAGCCCTCGTATATTAGATATTTTTGAAAATGCGATCTTGATGCAAGATAAAATATCTTAAACATAGTCTGGATAAACTCGATAGATCTAATAAATTAATGCATTGTGTTGTGTTTTAGTCAGGAGCAAAAGGAAAAAGTGAAGAAGGGTAATGTCAGAAAGAAAATGAGGAAGGAAGAGTCCAGCAGTTCGAGCACCTCGAGCTCCTCTAGCAGCGAGAGCAGTAGTGATAGTAGTACCAGCAGTTCCTCGTCGGACAGCGAATCGGACTCTAGCGACAGTGTGTCTAGCAGCAGTAGTAGCAGACGTAGCAGTAGTAGTAGTAGCAGCAGTTACGGTTCCTACAAAAAGAAATAGCACGTACAGATTGTAAGGTAAACCGAGGAAAAATCTCCTTTTGATTGCTCTGTCCCGCCTTTGACAAAATAATCATCGTCCTATCCTGAGCACAATGTCATTTTGCCTTCGAGCGGGATAACTCGAGAGAGGAAAGAGCTGACGGACAGTAGAATACTTGTGACAAAATTCTTTATGCCTCTTGTACAAGGTACACGTGTAATTTGTCAACAAATAATTTTTACCTCAACCTTTAAGTGCAAGACATGCTTGCTTAAAATGGAAATTTTGATGATTACTTTCTATTTTTTAGTTTTATAATCTAACTACATGTTAAGATGACTTGTTACATTTCTGCTATTCAGCTTTTATATGACGTATACGTATGATATATGTATATCTTACTATATAAGACTATTTTCTTCACGTTACTTTATGAGAATTCGCATTGCATTAATAGTAATCACATTATTTCTTTTCATAAAGAGTTTAGAACTTAATATGGAATGTAAATGTGAAAATCAATTACTAGTTATTGTATAGAATTGATATTTAAATATAATCTATTATTTTTTACTGCTGTACGCACATATATAGATGTATGATAGAAACGATAACGGGTTGATTTATTAAAAACACAGTATATTTAATGACGGAATTGCAATGATCGTATTCGTGTGACAGTATTCAATATAGTGATATTAAAAGATGTTAATCAGCGCTCTGTCAGACATCTCAACGTCAATGTGTCGATATAAAAAGTTTATGTGTGGGATATAAAAAAAAAACATCGCTGTTTGTTACGTATAATCCAAATACATGTACAAAAAATACACAACGCCGCTTTTCTTCGGATTAATCTTCGATACCTTCAGGCAGAGTCTGCACTATTACTTTCCTCCTTGGCTCGTAGACAAAATTGTTCGTCTTGAATATGTCACTCTCGTAAAACGGATGTAGATTATGTATGTCAATTTGCTTCGCCTGCAATCATAAAAAGTATTTTATACTGATACTAGTAAGTATCAGCGTGAAACACTTTATCTCCCACACGGGGATGTAAAAATGAATGAAAGTTGTCGTGTGAACATTTAAATAATGTAAGATAAGATTCTTATGTAAACTATTTTTTTAACCTAGTTATGACAAGATAAAGAAATTTTTCAGTCGAAACCATTTTGACATTATTTTTAATTAGTTATGTACTTGTGTTAGATCCTCATATTATTTCCGTACGTATCAAATGTAACGTAATCGTTTGCATTACCCGTTCCAATAGGTCCTTCTCCGAGATCTCAACGGTCGTGATTCGTCCGCCGTGCAAAGCTTTTTGAAATGCCAGAGTATCCAATGTGATTTGTCGTAGTATGTAATATAGGAGTTCACTGTGATCTTTCTTGTACGATAGATATTTCTGGAACGTCTGTAACAAGATGTGGATTAAACGCAGTCTTCAAGATTGCAAGCAAAAATAAACGTAGATTGAAAGGGTGTGAAGAGATACCTGACGCATAGATTTCATAACGGAATATTTCTGCGTGTCGACAAAACTGTCGAGGATTATTCTAATAGCTAGATTCATATCACTCTCCTGAACGTGATCCCTCAGATGCATCTTGGCGCTAGCCTCTGCCATACGAATAATGCTTTCAATATGACGAACGGTAATCGGCAAACTTCCGGTCGCCTAAAATGTAATAACGAGATAAAAACGATATTGCGACGCAGCAAAATCTTTTTTTCAGTAGTATTTAATATTTTCTTATTAATTTTTTTTTTTTTCAAGAACATATATAGATAGTTGACATTCTTGTTTTACTGGCTCACCAAGCTTTCCTGTCGCAACTGGCTATATAGTTTCGACACTTTGTCTTGATCGATGTTGGTCAGCTTTGGATGTACGTTCTGCTTCGCGTAAACGATGTATTTTTTGAGAAGGTCTTGTGGAATGCACAGACCTTGCGTGGCGGGATCCAACACTATAGCTTGCGTTCTCTCTGATCTCTCCGCACTATCCGTCGGATGATGCTTGATGTGCGAATTTACAACGAACTTGGCCAGATGACGATCCTGCATAGGATCAATCTCGTCCTTGACTATGCACAATACGTCAAATCGTGAGAGAATCGGCTCTGATAGATCCACCTGTATATAAATTTAATACTTAATGTATACATAATTATGATGTTCTACTTGTTCGTAATTTCACAATTTTAAGAAAAATTCTAATTTTATAATACTATAATTCTATATAGTTTTATATTACCATGATCGTATATATTTCAAACTTACAATTTCATTTACGAGTTACGATTTTGTGAAAATGCAAAATTAAAGAATTCTAAAAGTACATACATTTTCCGCAAAGGTCATACTAGGATCGTATCGACCACCGATAGGATTAGATGCGGCTATCACTGCGCATCTGGCGTGAAGAGACGTAACGATACCGGCCTTCGAAATAGAAATACTCTGCTGCTCCATAGCTTCGTGGATAGACGTTCTGTCCTGATCATTCATCTAGGAAAAATAAAAATTACATTGTAATTGCTTCTAATAACTATATCATTATACTTATCAAATAATATTAAAATTATAACGTAAATTACAGATGTGTATGTAATTTTGATACTACATATAAGTAATCTATATATGGAGGGGTAAAAACCACAGTGGTGTAAGTCAAATTTTTAAAAATGTTTTATTCGTGTGCATAGATGCAATTTATATATTGTATAGATTGCATCTATGCAAGCGAAAAATTATTTAAAAAAATTTAACTTACACCACTATGACTTTTACCCCTCCATATAGATATTAATATGAAAGCTATAAATACTAATTACTCTCTCTTTTTCTAACAATAATTATTGATAATATAAAAATACGATACTTATAGTGTTATCAATACCGTTACTAGTTATACAAATTATATAAATTCGTACTTTATCGAACTCATCGATGAGACATATTCCGTGATCGGCGAGGACCAAAGCTCCAGCTTCCAAGGTCCATTCTCTGCTGATCGGTGATCTCCTAACGTAAGCGGTCAAACCAACGGCCGAAGCGCCTTGGCCTGTGGTGAAGACAACTCTCGGTGCCGCTTTCTCTACGTACTTCAAAAACTGCGATTTGGCGGTGCCAGGATCTCCGCACAGCAGAACGTTTATATCACCGCGAAGCTTGTGCTTATTACCTGTACATCGCAACAAATGCAAATAATAGGGGAGAAAATGCATAAACTGAGAAGATAATTCGAAGAAGAGATAACTACCTGGATTCTTCGGCTCGCCACCGAATATCGCTAGCGCCAAGGCTCTCTTGATATTTTCATGGCCATAAATCGAAGGTGCGATACTCGTGACTATGCGATCCGCGATACGTTGATCTTTACTCAGAGCGAGTATACTTGAGATGTCCTCTTCCGTCAGCGAGTCTACAATTTCTTTCGAATCTTTGACAAATAAATGATTAGCTAATAGTACTGTGGAGAATACCGGGAACCCCTGTAATACAAAAGAGATGTAATTAGAACTTTATCCCCGTAAAAAACTACTCTTGCAAGATACATACCGCGAAACAGTGATAATTAAAAATATGACGAACGTCATGCGAGGAAATATAATTAATTAATATTATTACGCCCGGGACTCATTCGCGTGTCGCATACACTCCTCACACTCGCGCGCTGCGGAATCCTAGCGGAAATAACTAGACTCGGTTTGCAAGAAAGAATTTATTTATTTGACAATAGATACAGAGGAGCACAAAGCTGCACATTCACACGGCTTGATATCTCAGCTCTGAATCATCATGACTTCTATTTGAAAGCAGTTCAATTCGGCTCGAATTTATCGGGTGTCTCAGTACGGGCGTAACACTGCCTTCCCTCTTCTAGATTGTCATCCTGACAATCAACTCAGACAGTCCCTTGGCACTGGCAGGATCCTCTTCTCAGATTTCAGATTCCAGATTCCAGATTGCAGATTCCAGAACACCAAGACGGCTTCTTGCTCTACCTTGAGCTGCTGCTACAGGTTACTGGACTCCGTCCTTTTTTCGGTCAATCTGTCTGAAGGAAGCCTACGTCCTCTTCTTCGTAGGGAGCAGATTCCAAGGCAGGTCTCCAGTCGGCATCTCTTTCTGAGAGAGTGGACCAGACTTCCTCCATGTCGACTCCAGGGCAACCTCTCAACTACTCCCTCACAGAGATCCCATTGTTCGGACTCACTCAACGCAAATTTCTCTTTTTCCTTCCCATGAGTCTTCAGAAGTCGTCGTTCTCTTCGAAACGTCGTTCTTCTTCGAAGATCTTTGGGCAAGCGGCAAGAGGGAAGATAATTTTTTGTGGATTCTTTGTCTCAAGAGACTCCATGTTCTTGCCTCGATATTTTCCCTCCGGTCCCACGGGAAAACCACAAATCAAAAACCGTGGGAGAGACAGTCTTCTTTTAATTTGCAGTCGAAATCTTCCCATGAAGTGAACTAAGGTGTTAGTAAGCGCAAATTCCCTCCGTGTCTGTTCCTCACGCAGCTGTCGCATTTCCTGAAGCAAAGTCACTGTCTCCGATGTAGGCTCCGGGGTCTCCGCTCGAGGCTTTTTCCTCGTTGCCGTCGTCTTGACCATAATTCATACGCGATCCCGGACGAGCTCCCAAAATGTTGCGCCCGGAACTTAATCGCGTGTCGCACTCACATCCACGTCCGCGCGTTTCGGAACCCGCAGAAATAACTCGGCTTATGAGAAAGAATTAATTTATTCGACGATAAATACAGAGAAGCACAAAGCTGCACCTCTATATGGCTTGACGTCTCAGCTCTGAATCACCATAACAATAAATAATAACTGTTTATCAACAACTACCCATTGTCACGGACAACGCTTCGCGATTTTTACTTGAAAGTTGAAGGCAGCTCGATTCGGTTTGAGTCTCAGCGCGGGGGCGTAACAATATGTACAAAATTTAATCTTACCTGTTCAGTATTCAAAGAACCGTCGTAATTATTGGTATAAACAGCTGTAACGTCTATCTCGTCTCCTGGTTTACAACGATCACAAAGATCGGACAGCAGAATGCAATCTTTGCTGCGCGGTATTCTGCCAGCGGGTATTCTACCTGGGGATTCTTGTATCGTTATCTTTTGGTAATTTCTATATATAGTTTGCTCCATATTGATCTAAAACACGCGAAATATTCAATGTATATAAAAGCGATTATTTTTAAATAATTAGATGTAACAATTAAACGTAGAATTCTTCAGCTTACCGTGAATGGACCGACACTCTGACACTCGGGACAAGAGCCTGGCTTAACTTCTGTGTTTTGAGATTGGACAAACGGTCCGAGAACGTAGTTACATTTCGTACAATCGTACTTCACTATTGATAATTGCGGCAGGACACCCGTAGTCGCCGTTACAACTCCAAGAGTTCGAACCAATTGATTCAAGTGAAGTTTTCTATTGTAATAAAGTAAAAGTGATATAATTTTATACATGTTCGATTTGTATTGTTAAGATTGCAAGCTTGATAACATGATATAAATTAAATGATGTGCATCAAGTATGGATCCTTACCTGAACGTGCGTAATTCTTCAATCAACGGCAATTCCGATATTCTCACATGAATTTCCGACGTGACTCTCTCATAACTGGGAAAAATTGTAAGCACCAATTCCTTCGCCACTTCGTCAAATATCTCGAGCATTTGGAATGGTGCTTCTGGTAAAAAATAGGCCAAAACATGTTCCTTACTGGCGAGAATTGGAAATTCCACTACGAAACTGTACTATTAAAATAAACATAAAAATCTCCTATAAAATAAAAACTGTTAAACAAAAAATAAATATAAAACTTTGAAACAAAAATATTTTATCTCTTTAAAAATAAGAAAATCTCATATGTATAAATATAAAAGATCGTAACACAAGGTATAAAATAAAATAATTCTATAATTCTAGAGTATCACAAAAAATTAATTAAATCAATAAAAGATAAAATATATACCTTTTAAATTAAAGCTTTTATTATGTTAGAATTATATAACAGATTCGCTGTATACCTGATTATTCTCACACATATGGCGAATACGCTCTTTATACATGTATTGTCCTTTGGAATTTGTATGGTTGCGAAGGAAGTTTTTAAAGCGATTCGAAATTTCCGTTCGTGGTCCTAGCATCATTACCCATTCCTTTACTGAGTGTCCTTTAGTATCCTCTAAGTTTTCGATGGATTCGATCATCTGAAACAACGAATGGCGCTCGTTATTTAAATTATTATTTAAAAAGATACCTTTATGTGGGATGGTCGAGAGATTCTTACTTCTGCATCTTCTAATATGCCAGTGGCAGCCTTTTCAGCCATACGACGTTTGCGTGCCTGCACGTCTTCTTCGTCAGTTTCATCTAAAAACACAAAGAAAAATATATGTGTAAAGATATTCAATAATTTTGTAAATATAATTTTGGAATTTTACAGATTAATATATCAGAATTAAATTAATTGTATATACAAATGGTTTTCTATCTTTAGATATCAATAAATGATAAAATAAAATTACCATAAAGAAGATCACGGTCATCCCTTATGATACCAGCCGCACGATCTCTTCTTCGCATTTCTATTTCCGCGGCTACACGGTCGCCCTGAGACAGCTCTGAGTATTCTTCGTCATCCAATAGATTGGGATCATATCTGTCCAGTGCTGACATAGGCCGATAATCCCTGTCATAACAATATTATAATTTTATTATTGTTAAAAATATAATTTTATTGCTATTATTGAGTATTTCTCTCACACACAAAATAATAAAACTAGATATATTACTCTTTTAAGTAACGCTTTTTAACATTTGTCTGTTAGATATCAAATGTTGATGTATACTTATTGTAAGTTAGTTTACAAAAATGGACACTTTAGAAATGTAACATCCTTACGCCTCCATATTGTCTCCGAATAATTCCTCTCCCTCTTCTTCCTCATTATTAGCATTATTTTCTCCATCAAGTAAATCGGATTCATCCTCAAACGGCTCATCTATATCAGGCGCAGGAGAAGTTTGTTGACTCATTGCATCGGTGTGTCGTTCAGAATGTATAGGAGAACTTATTTGACTCTTGTGTGTACATGAAATAAAATGTTACACATATTTCATTTTTCTTAATTATAAAATCTACTAAATCATATTATTATTTAATGCATTCAATACATGTATATGTTGAGACTATATAACTATAAATGTATATTGTTACATATATACACACATACACGCATGTTTACAAAATTTTTATATACATAATAATATATATTTATATGATTGTCAGACGTAATATATATTATACTTGTAATTATCTCTTTTTACTTGCATCTTACGCATAATTATGTCATGCTGTTGTATTGGTTTCTATGCGCACGTGTATACATGCGTGATATGCGTCAGTAATAAAACAATAATTCTTGAAAGTTTACCATGTTGCTGTTTACGATACGCTTTCCGCCGCGAAAGAAATTCTCCTTCCTATATTATTATAAGATGCTCGGTGTAGCTAGAACGTTCCTACTTTTGTAACAGAGCTGGCGAATCGAGAATCGTCACAAGCCCACACAAGCCGTCAAGCTCAAACCCACGCTCAAACCTAAAGACATTACACTTGGCGGGAATACTTTGTAAAGAACCGTGCCATAGAACGTCAACAGCAAAGAAAGGTAAGTGTGTGGTAAGTGCATCGCGTGAAATTCCTGACCAATAAAATGTGATCAGGTCCAATGCCAACGAATCGGCTTTCATTTAACCTTACAAGAATATATACTATACGAACTTTTACGTGAAAAAGTGTAGATTTAAAAATTTATGAAATTATTTTAGCTATATACTTTTTTTTTCTTTTGGAAAAATCGGGATTCACATAAAAAATAATATATATTTTCTAATAAGTATTTAAAATAATATTCTAATCGCTATAATTAAAAGAAAAATTCGCTTTTAATTTTTATAACTGCCTACTTCTGCAAGTTATAAATAATTTCAGAAGGGAGTATCAATATCTTTTTGATGTTCAGTATGTAAAATTTTTTTTATTAAAATGTAATATAATTTATTACAAAATATAAAACTTATATAATATTTAATAAATTTCACATTTTAGATGTACATAGACAAACATTTCATTTTTTTTTGTAAAATATTGTATATTACCCAAACAAGTTTATCACGCATGTTTGTTCATCTTACGATTAGTTTATCATGCGCGTATGTTTAGCTTTTAATTCTGAATTATGATATTGGCTTAGTTTACACCGTAGATACTTTTAATACGGGTATTAAGCTGGTGCGAACTAAGCGTTAAATACGGCCGATTTACATCAATCGTATTAAGTCATATTTGGCCTAGTTTACACCAATCACTTGATACACGTATTAAATAGTAAATAACTAGCAAATTTGTAGTTTGATCATTGACTGATCAGCACAAATATACTATTTGATACGCGTATCAAGAGATCGATGTAAACTAAACCTACTATTCTGATACGCCGTCGTTTACATCGATCGTATCAATGGATTTAGTCTGAATACTTGGCGTACTAAACGGTCGATGTAAACTAATCCGATCAACAAGGGAAGATCAGATAAAAGTGTGATGGATCAGACTATGGTATAATAAAATTATGAAATAAAATAAAACGAAATGAAATAAAACTGCTTTCTAATCGTTAAGCCCCGATGTACTGCTACCGCTCCTACTTGCACTACCAGATAGATGCTGTTTCGTCATTTCTTCCATCATGTAATCGTCATCTGTAACAATTCATACAAACACAATAATCATAGAATTTTCATGCAAACTAAGACTAAATCTATCTTTCTTCGTTGCTGTTATACGTCATATAATTAGATTTAAAAAAATATAGTACATTTATTTATACACATTTATCATTAATTTTCTTATTTTTTAATTATTAATTTTTATATTTAATTCAAATATCTTAAAATTGATGTATCTTAATATGTTTTTAAATTATATCTATTTTATTATTAATTCATATATATACAGAGTATCCTAAGTTTTTCCGGACAAATTTTAGTAGAATGTTCTATGAGTAAAAATGAGAAAAAAAAAGTTATATAAACATAGGTCCTAAAATGCTTTATTAGAAAGTTATAGCAAAAATTAGAATGTGTTGAATAAGTGACATCGTACATAAGTGATATGCTGTTAGATGATGTTTAATAATGATCCTACAACAAGCCATAGCTACAGCTATCCCGAAATATGGTTTGGAGAACATTGCAAGCTGATAACAGGTACCCGTTTCATTTCACACCAGTACAAGAACTTTTGCCAACTGATCACGAACACAATTCTGTACCATGTAGCCATGTTCAGCACATAGTTTAAATTAAATCTTGTCATTAATTGTTTCAGCAAGCATTTCACGAAACAATAAATTATTTTGATTTAGTACAGAAAATATGTTTTTTTTTTTTTTTTTTTTTTCTATTAAAAGATGGACAATACTTAAAATTAAAGTCTTTGAGTTATACAAGATGGTGCAGTAAGATAAAGATTTATAGAAGCTATAAAAACTTTATCATATTATTCAAATTTATGATGCTCCTCATGAAGTTTCAAGTAATAAATCTCGATACTTTAAAACTTGTCACACATAGCATATTCATTACTATTAAAAATATCAAGTTTTAAATTTTTATGTTCTGTTATAGTTTAGTACAATATTTTATTTGAAAGTAATATTGTTAGCAAAATATTACAAAATCCAGCAATACACAGAAAAGAATCTCTTACATTTTTAAACAATTTAATCGATTTTTTAAAGAAGTGTCGTACTAATGAAAATTTTGAAAATATACTCATTGCTGCAAGTGATTTGGCAAAGAAATTAGAGATAGAACCTAATTTTACTCCAGTAAAAAATGTAAGACGTAGAAAAGACAAAAAACTTCGATTATAAAAATACAGATGAAGCAACATGGGAATCAAAAGTACATTTTAAAGTTATCTCTGATGAACTATTATTAACATATTGTAAAAACTTAGAATTGAAACTTTTTGATAAGAAACAAAGTGAATCAGATATTGATGGAACTGATTTATATCATGGAATTAAATCTTTAAAATTAGATTTGAAATTAGATAAATATTTAGTGGAACCTCAATATTTTGTGATATATACTTGAAAATAATCTACAAGTAACATTTCCAAATATATTTATTGCTACAAGAATATTATTGACACTTCCAGTATCGTCGAGCGAACGCTCTTTTACAAAATTAAAAATTATAAAAATTCTCTACGATCCACAGTGCTGCAGAAACGACCCGAAAATTTATCAATAATATCTATAGAACACGAAAATGGATAAAATGAATATACGATTTAATATCAGAATTTGCATTGCAAAAAGCTCGTAAAAACTGTTTTGTAATATTGATTTTTAATATTGATTATTGTAATAATAAAATATTAATATAATAAAATATAAAAGTTTATTGTATTTTGTTGGAGTTTATTAATTGTATGAATTTCGTCTATCTCTAAATTTATTAATATATATTTTGCATAAAATGTATGCACACTTTATTGGGGCGACGAAATTATTTTTGCACGCGAGCGGCCAACTCTCTTTGCACGCCCGCGCCAGCGGCGCCCCTGCATCCCAACTCCACCTGCCTCCACTACGTAATTTATGTCCGATTCGGGATCGTCCACCAAGAAGACTCGTGTCCAGACTTCATCAGGTGATAAAATATTCAATCGCCTGTATATGGCTGCACGTACCTGATCCAATAGATCACGTACCGTGCAGTCCTCGTTCGGTATGTCAAACGTAATTAGTCTTTGTTCGCCCGTGGCTAACTTCACTAACATTTTTGCCGTATCTCCTTTAATTTGATGCTGAACTATGGTATTTGCTTGATCGTATATTAAGGAGGTTCTACAGATAATGGATGTATCTAAAAATTGGAAAAAACTTTATGGACGTATAAATTGAGATGCGAGAAAAGTGCTCGAAAAATTTTAGCATCGGTTACCGTGTAAACATTTGCAAAAATGAATTTTGAAATCACAGTTTTTAACATAAGCTACATATGGCAGAGGGGCTCTTGGAGACAGGAAACGAGATATTAATTATATAAAGGCGACCTACCAAAGATTCAAAAAACGGAGCTCTTATAGATCTTAATCTAACCTTTTCAGAAATATCGAGAAAAACAAGGGTTATCGCGTAAAATTTTGTGATATTGGCTATTGAAACAGGCCATATCACAGTTCACGTAGCGTGCTTCGAATAACAAGGGAGATTTGGCAATGTCGCAGCGACTGCACCCGCGCGAAAAGTGTACAGCCAGTACAGCACCACAGTATGACAGCACCTCAAACTTAAGCACCTAACGTTTACGAGCGCTTACGGAGAAGTACTCGCTCTAGAATTATGTGAAATTGTGAAATAACCACGGTCATATGAGCAGAACTGTCAAGTTCGCGACGTTACCACATTTTCTTCCATTATAAGCCGCCAGAGTCAAACGAGCACTTACACGATATTTTTAATTATTCCTCGCTTCGACTAATATGGGTATGATATAAGCTCTAACGTCATCAAAATTCACGAAAATATTTTATGAATACTTAGAATCGACGAATTTGAAGATTTTCTCTTCATCTCTCAACTGACTAGAGAGTACCTGTAGAACCTCCTTAAACATGTATACAGGGTGATTGAGGAGGAATCTGCAATATTCCAGAAGGTGATAGTATTGATGATTTTAAGCAAAAAGAATCATATGAACATGGGTCCTATGCCTAACGGTTATCGAGATATTCTGGTTATAACGTGAAAAGGGCACCATGCGTAAGGAGGGATAGAAATGAAAGAAAAACTGACAACGATGTGCAGTTGTTAGCCTATAATGACCTTACGTCTATGTTTTTCTTTGTTTTAACCTACGTCTACGATTACGACGCTTACGTCTCGTTCTCTGACAGTATTGTACCAAAGAAGTTGGTGTAAACGTCGTCAATACTATCACAGAATATTGCCGATTCCTCCTCACAATCACTTTATATATATATATATATATATATATATATACGCACACACACATACGTGTATGTGTATGTGTGTTTAATATACATTAATTTTTATCTTCCCTTCATTGTCTAACTCGTTACCTGACTCGTTATCGCTCAGTTGACGTGGTGAAAATTTACATCCTCGCGCTAAGTACTGCTTCAGTTTGCCAACACTGGCTAAAATTAAACCGAGAAATGGCGGTGACGGTTTTAACGGCCTCGATAGATATTCAGGATGAAATTGAGTAGCTACGTAATAACTATGTCCTTCCAATTCGGCAATTTCCATTCGTATATTTTCATCGTCACGACCTACAAGAATGTTTGATTGCTTCATATTACTTTAATTATTTACCACTAATTGTCTCGCGCATTATATTTAACGCAAAAGATTGTAATTTTATTAAGAGATGCGATCTAACTCACCTACGAATTTTAAACCAGCTGCTTCTAAATCATTGACGTAATCTGGATTTATCTCATACCTATGCCTATGCCTTTCTTCTATAACATCGTTATTATCATACAATTTTTCTGAAGAATAAAGAGTTATAAATTAAAAATATCGCTGGAGAAAGGAAAATTTAACTCATACAATCTCAACAAATCTTGTTACTTACTTAAAATAGAATTATTGTTGTAGAATCGTGTTTGTCTTTTGCCCAGCCTCATCGTTCCACCCATCATACCTTGAGTGTGCTCCGGCATATCTATCACTACGGGACTATTAGTATCCGGATCGATCTCTGTGGTATTCGCCGTTACAAGATTTAAGACATTTCGCGCAAATTCAATGACCGCCGCTTGCAAGCCCAAACAAATCCCAAGGAACGGCTTATCGTTCTCTCTGCACCATTTGCAAGCTTCCATCTTTCCCTCCATTCCTCTTTTTCCAAACCCACCCGGTACAATAACGCCGCTAGATGCGCAAGAAAAATACATTTTAATTTTCTATCGAAAATTATATAATCTTATATGATCAAGAATTATGAATATATTGAGAAGTAGAATATAATAATATTATATTAAAAACATATTTACTTGCTCTTGCAGAGCTGTTGCCAAGCTTCGTGGTATAGTACTGGATTCTCCGATTTTGTAGTTTGTTCTAAATTAGCAGCTTCTATAAACTGTAATAATAATCCAATATATATAATCATGCGTGCGTAGCGTGTATAGCATAAATACAATATACTTTTAATAATTGCGACACTCTACCGTCAAGTTCAATTTATATCCGGCCTCAATAGAAGCATGTTGCAACGCTTTCGTAACGGAGGCATAGGAGTCCTCGAGTTTCGTGTATTTACCCACTAGAGCGATGTTAACATCTTTCCGCAAATGATCCACGCGTTCAGCTAGATCCCGCCATTTTCGCATAAAGCAACGCGGACGCGCCATTCCGATATTCAGTTGCAATCGATCATTGAGGAACTCTATGACACCTTGATATTCCATAAGAAGTGGCACTCGATATATAGATGTTAAATCGTGAATAGTTATAACCTGGACGAATCGTAAAATTTAAAGATACGTTAATCATTCATGTTTTCATAATAATATCCCTATTCGCTCCAACCATGCCTTTCGTGTCCCACGAATTTCTAACAATCGTTTGTTCCGGAAAACAAATGATCGTGGGAGAATCCCCTCCACGCCGGAAAAAAGTTATTATGACAGGGAACCTCAGGTAAAAATTTCAAAGTCCTAGCTCATTTACTCTCGAAACGGGGAACAATCAAAATCTCGGTGGGACACGAAAGTGCATGGTTGGAGGATTACGTCAGTGTTGTGTGAAAGGTAAATGAGCATTTTTTTCGATAAAAATGTATTTTTGTGTATAATTTAACCGTATTTAAAATATTTTTGTCGTTAAAAAAAAATTTAACATTCCACAGAGGTCTATTATGGCTCAGAGGCATGTGAAAGAGGTGGGAAGAAGCTACGATTATTTTAAAAAAATTAATTTTTTTACATAAAAAATATCTGTCACACTTTAAATTCGCCTTTTCTTATTCAGAAATTCTTTTTCTAGCATTCTTTAAGTCCTTAAAGTTCTTCTGTACCATTTAAAAATTACCAAATTTGCGGCGACGAAATTAAGTATTCCTATTTAATTAATAATTATCTCATTTTTTTTTCTCATTTGCACTACTTTTAGCTTTAATTTGCGTTTTGGTTCATTAAGCTTCGTCAATTTGTTCGTGAGTTACGATTTTTTAAGTAAAACGAGTCGTAACGTGTGTTTGTCAACATATAATTGTTGTAAACAAATATTTAAATAAATGATTTCCAAATGTTCTTTACATTGATTTTTAGTCGAAGGTACAAAGATATTATAATAATTTTTGGGGAATTTTTCAAAGCTATTAACATTATAAAAAACACGTGGGACTCGAAAGTGCATGGTTGGAGGATTATTGGGGCGAAAAAAACGTTGAAGCGAATAGGGATATATATACTGCAACAATATTGTAATACTAAGATATATATTTTTTAATGATTACCTGCTCCGGGGCCACATGGCAGAAATTTGAAATTTTCTCTTTGACGGAATTGCCAATGGGGTTTTCCGACCTACAGACTATAAGATCGGGCGACAAACCTAATCCTCGTAGCTCTCTGACACTAGATTGCGTCGGCTTGGTCTTGTGTTCACCCGTCGATTTTGGCTAAAAGATATTCATATTTCTATAACACTGATTGGTAACACATACCAGATGCGGATTGTATTTCTCGAGTCGATTTCCTGTAAATTTTTGGCCGCTGAATTCGAATCTATCAGTGAAATTTTTCTATCACATCAGGTTCATCACCTATTTTGTCATTTATCAAAAAATGACCTATATTTTTTTTGCGCATTTGATTATATATCCTCAATTTTTTTCAAAAACCAGATGTGATAGAAAAATGATAGATTCGGATTCAGTGGTAAAAAATTTACAGGAAATGACTCGAGAAACCCAATCCGCATTTGATATGTCGACCAGTGTAATTGTTCAGAGGAAGTTGTTCCCATAAAAATCACTCACGGAGTTTTGTAAAAATTATTCGTGCACTTATCATTGAACAGACTTGTAAAAGAGATATTTATATGGAAATGTAAAGATCATAAAGCATGGAACAGTTACCTGCGGCACTAAAGACACATGAGCCACGCAAAAGTTTTCCCTGTTCACTCTAAATTGAAATTGTCTAAATGCTTCAACAAACGGCATTCCCTCAATGTCCCCTATTGTACCACCAAGTTCCACTATGCACACCTATAAAATTATTAACATGCAATTAGAATAATTATATTATTATGAATTTATACGTATAAAAATTATTTAAAGAATATTATTAAAATTTATATTCGTAAATCTAAATAATCTTGTGCCATTATCTAATTGTACATAATAATATTAATAATAATTTGATGTATTATTAACTATACCTGTGGTATAGCTCCATCTTTTGTTACAGATTGATTCGCGATTTTTTCCACCCATTCCTGAATAGCATCAGTGATATGGGGCACCACTAACAATAAGAAACAAAATATTGCTTTTCATTAGCTTATATAACTCATCGTACTCATTAGACATCTGCAATATTATAAATAGACTTGTAACCTTGTACTGTTTTGCCTAAGTAGTCTCCTCGTCTCTCCTTCGTAATAACGTACTGATAAATTTGTCCAGTCGTTATGTTATTGTCCTTGTGAAGAGTGATGTCCAGGAAACGTTCGTAATTGCCTAAATCCAGATCCACCTCCCCGCCATCGTCGAGTACATAAACTTCACCTGTTTCACAGAAAGGAGAGAATGCACATTCACGAAGAGAAAGACAGCAAAGGTGCAGAAACAAAAGCGGATGCGTCTACAGGAAACCAGTAACATAAGAATGTTTTCCTTCCAGGAATACCTACTGGATAACTGCTTGAACAATGCGATAGACGATAGACGATAAGCATCATGTTTCATTGGAAATTAGAGACCATTCTTAACAAGTGGCAAACATAACTATACCAGCATAAACGTTCATAATGTATAGTTTACAGCGTTTTTGCGCATGACCAAGGGCTGTTTCCTATTGCTTTTATTGCTCTGAATACAAATATACCAACAAAAAAATTTCTACGGGTCTAGAAATGCTACTATTGCAATTTCAAAATGTTGCCATAAATAGCAAGTACCACAATTTCAGGAAAAGAAGTAACAGTATAAAAATTAAAGAATACAACATTTTATGTTTGCAATAATTTCATTTATAATTCAAGATATTAAAATTTTTTTGTACGAGTCTTTTACCTATAAGCTTTTGGGTCCGTTTCTCTTGGAAAAGACCAGCAATATTTACCCATCATGTTTTTATCCCGCTATCCTTGATAACGAGCCTCCATAACTGATATAAGTCTCCATAATTCTATTTATATAGTCATAATTCATTTGTATTGCCAATATAGCCTAAGATGTTTTAAATATATTTCAATTTATTTTTTAATATCTTATATTTTATACTTAAAAAAAAATTAAATAAGATGTTGATATCTCTTTCGTTCAAAATGTATGTTATAAATCTATAGCTTTAAAAATTTATTGGCTTTAGCTGATTGAGCAAAAATAAAATTAAAAAATAAAATAAAATAAAATAAAAATTTTGTTGGCGAAAATATCGTTAGACCTTTAATTTGTTTACAAGATCTGACGAGTATATTTATTTCTTTAATCTCATCGACTTGAGAAATATCATTGGAACAAAGATGTAAGGGAGACGGTCGTTGGCCAGCAACGTGACATGACGGGCCCGGCCGAGTAATCGCGAGCGTGCAGTTATTGTAGAAGGAAGATTTATTAAATCATTTTTTAAATAAAATTAAGAAACGAATTTTCTTCTACCATCAATTCCGTATTTTGTGAACTAGTGTAATTGTACTTTAACAATTAGAATAACATGTATCAAGAAGACTATCCTGAACATATCATATAATACTTATTGTTAGTTAGGACAAATAATTCAGTAATAATCTTATCCTAATCGTAGTCAATTTAAATATATCTAATTTTATAGAAAATATTTGAATTGACAATGAGGTAATCATAAATGAAACATAATTTTAAATGTAAGCCTTATTTTTTTATTTTAACAAAAAATCTTTATACATATAAATTTTAACGTGTAAAGGACCCCGCACACATCACATGGACATTAGAAAAATGGCTTCCCGTCAAATTTGCTGAAATTGTAGTATGATGTAATTCATAACGTTCTGTCGAAAGTTCCAATGAGTCCGAGATAAAAAAATAGACAGTTTCCGAGATACGGGGGGGGGGTCAAAGGTCAATCATATGAAAAATGGCTTCCAGTCGAATTTACTGAAATTGTAGTATGATGTAGTTCATAACGTCCTGATCAAAAGTCCCAATGAGTCCGAGGTAAAAAAAATGGACAGTTTCCGAGATACGGGGAGGGGGGTCAAAGGTCAATAATATAGTGCCTTATTCGAAAATTCTATTCTTTGTGTGTATTACGAAGCTACGTTCACACACACACATATACACATACATACGCAGAATGGCACATACGCACACAACAATACTGCTCACATACATCATACTACATCATGCTAAACTACATCATACTATTCATACTACAATTTCAGCAAATTCGACGGAAGGCCATTTTTCCATGTGATGTGTGCGAGGTCCTTTCTAATTGTGCTATTCTCTTTAGCTTTTTTTTCTTTTAATTTAGATTTTTCGCATTTTTCTTCAAGATTTAAATATGAGTTTATTTAATTTAGTAATGATGTCCTAGTTATTGATCAACTTGACGATATCTAATTTTGCAAAAAAATATTTAATAAACGATAATATAGTCACAAGTAAAACATGATTTTAAAGATAAGCCTCATACCTTTTGATTCTAACAAAAATTGTTTATTACATAAACATTAAAAAGTATAACGGATTCTTCGCATGCAGGCGACATTATCAAGATAACAATATCGTAATTTAAATTTCCGCTTCCCATTTACAATTTGCGGATGAAACAAATAAATTTAGAAAGCGATAACGAGATTCGCTAACTCGTCAGCTAAATCATTCTACTGCGGTGATTGAGCACCGGAGATGCAACTGGAAAGAGTCCGGGAGTGACTTGGACCTCACTCCGATTAGTGCTCATCTACAATAGGTGTTTTAAGCCCTAAGCCTTAAGAAATTGTTCAATCACAATTGAATTTGAAGAGAATAATTGACTGTGATTGATCAATTTTTAGGGCTTAGGGCTTAAAACACCTATTGTAGATGGGCACTTGACGATTAACTTATCAAGCAATATTATTTCGTTAACATGGATGTAACTATTAATCTTCTTCCTTGATACATTCTTCGACATGGGAAAAGGATCAGATTAGAAATTTTGTTTCGGTCGGATTCCGCCGATTGAATTAAAGTCAATTTCTACCAATGTGGATTAACTTTAATCTCGATTTAATTTACTTTTTATCTTTTACTAATGTTTATTTCTACCAACGTATTTACTTTAATCTCGGTTTAATTTACTTGAAGTATCTTTTCTTAGTTTTGAAAATTAGAAGAAGATAAAAAGTAAGTTAGTTAAATCGAGATTAAAGTTAATCTACGTTGATAGAAATAAACATAAGTCCCGATCTACAATAATGGGTGTTTTAAGTCCTAAGCTCTAAGAAATTGACCAATCACAGTCGATTATTCTGCTCAAATTCGTCTGTGATTGATCAATTTCTTAAGGCTTAAAACACCTATTGTAGACTGGGACTAAAACTAGAAAAGGATAAAAAGTAAGTTGAGCCGAGATTAAAGTTAATCGGCATTGGCAGAAATGGACATTAATCGCTGATTAAAGTTAATCGGAGTTTAATCCGAGTCGCTCTAAGGGCCAATTTCACCAACCACAGTTAGCTTAACCGACGGTTAAAGTTAGCAGGATTGACCAATAGAAATGAATCCACCCTGCTTTCTATTGGTCAATCCTGTTAACTTTAACCGTCGGTTAAGCTAACTGTGGTTGGTGAAATTGGCCCTAAAGACGTTTCTGTAAAGCGCAGGAATGGAGACACACGAATCAAACCTAAAATCAAGAATCTTCTATCTTCTATCTATGCGTTACGTTCCATGCGTCATTGCATGCGGTTGTCCGTCTGGACGGGCTTTAATCACGTTGAACGTGACAACAGCGACATAAGCGTAGAAAATGGCGACGCGGCACATGGCTGGAAATTTTACCGCCACAAGAGAATCGCCGCGTCGCGGCGTTCGATCGGCCGATTTTCGCGCTTTATCACACAACCACAAGTCAGATCATTCCATTCGGACGGCAAATTGATCCCGTTTTCTTTGTCGTCGGCGCCGAAAAGACCGGGGGCGAACGGACGGGATTTTGGCGCCGGTGAAACTATTCGAATTTATATAACCTCATCGACTCGCGGTTCTTCGATAGTTTTCGAATAAATGTAATAATTAAGTAATTCCTCGTTAAGAAATAATTCGAACGAAAAAAATCGCGACGATAATAGAGAAATCGGGTAAGGGGGGAGGGGGAGAAGGCTAAGATTCGAATGATCAAAACGTCCCGCAATTGTTGGAATCGGCGCCGAGGTGTGAGTTTTCCGGAAAATTGAGCTACATGAATATCCCGCCGATTTTCACGACGTTGTGACGTCACAGCGCCGCGCTGCTCACCGTGCTCGTAGGGCGAGAAGGTTCCAGCGTCGATGTTAATGTAGGGATCGATTTTGATGGACGTTACGCGGATGTTGCAGTGCTTCAGGATGGTGCCGAACGAACTGGCGATGACACCCTTGCCCACGCCGCTGATCACCCCGCCGGTCACCAGAATGTACTTCATATCTGCTAATCCGTGAGACGAGAGACGTGCACCACGCGAGAGAGAGATTCGTTCGCACGCGCGCGAAAGTCCTCACACTTCCGCGGTCCAGACGATCCGGTCTTCGAAGCGTACTGAATGAAACTGAACCGACTGAACGGAATTGATTACGGAACCGAACGAATCGAACCACTGAACCGTGCGGAATTCTCTGAACCAATACCAGAAGCGGATCGGACGGAACGCAGAACGCCTTGTATTAAGCTGGCCACACACACTTTTTTCATAGAACGTAACAGTAGGGTTTCGACCAATCGCGTTGCTCAATTCGGCCGTCTGTAACCGTAGAAGTAAGAATCGAGCAACGCGATTGGTGTGTGTGCCCTGCTTTAAAGGCCTATTCTTTTTAGCTCTTGCCACGGTTCATTTTTTCTCTTTTTCTCTCCAACGAAAAGAAAAAGAGGAGAGATGAACCGTGCAAGAAGTTCAACTAAAAAGAACAGTAAATTTTAAATGTAATAGAGTACAATCATCTATTTATACCTTCCTTTGATCAATCTGTTATAATGTAATGATATAATGTGTATTTTATAATCTATTTTATAATCTCCTACTTTGATAACAGGAATTCTATTACCACCTATTAAAAAAACATTTCTTTGGTGCAAGAGTCGTGTGACAATTGCGAAATTTCATTATTATTCTGTATTTCCAAAAGTCCCATAGAAGCACCAGGCATAAAACACACACACACACACACACGACGAACGAACAAACAACTTCGAAAATATTTTATCTTTTTACTTTTTTTAAATATTGTTACAATTCTCTAAAATACATTCTAAATGCGAAATCAAAAAGATTTAACAGCCATCTTAAATAATTGAATTTTATTCCTAGTACGGTAGAATAGATGACAAATTGAGAAACGTTACTTATGTCTATACTATCTATATCGTCTATCTGCACGTGTAAGTATATTGTAAAATACTCTCAAGTTTGAGAACCTACGTTTTCAACACAATGCTGCTAGTTTCCGGACCGTATTCAAGTCACGAAGGAGCATTTGTACAGTCTGCTTAGTACGGGGTTGAACAAGCGGATCCGATACGAGTTCATCCGGATCCATCGCTTCTAGAGCTGCACATTAAAACGCATGGAATGAGCATTTGTTGAATGCGTTTTAATACACGTTTTTTCAATGTCTTTATATTACATACCAAAAATTTGCGCTTCTATGGATGTTAATCTCGAATCGATGTGACATTGAAAATGCTCAATATGCTCCAACAATCGCATTCGGCATTCAGCTGGGTCAATCGGTGCCTCGGGTTCTGGTATAAAAGGCTGCGGAAGCGCGGAGACTTCATTTTTTACGTTGGTTATGCTTGATTCTTGTTGAACGTTGTTAACAGGCGATCCAGAATTGAGATTCTCAGATACGGGATCATCAATAATAGTTTTCTCAGCTAATAAATCTGCATAAAAATATCACATAATATGTAAAGCTTTGTGCAGTTATTTATTTATTTATTTGTGTTAAAAGTTCAGTCCTGTGAAAAAAATGAAAGACTGAATAAATACATTTTTTTTACCTGCACTCTCCGTTTTAATGTCTGATGTAGCACTGTTTTCCTCTTTTATGTCCGAGTTACCACCCGTTAACGCGTCTAAAAGTATATGACTGTCCTTTGAATTCGAGCCTTCCTTCTTGCTGATAATCCTGGATTCATCAGAATGCGTGCTATCTTCTTCCAAAATTTTCATCAATTCCGAGTCGGAAGCGATTGATTTTTCATCTTGATCGTCTTTTATAGACAGCTTGATATCTGCCTTCGTCTCGACACGTCGCGGAATCTCCGAATTTGTATCGGTAAAACTCGCCGCTTTAGTTATTTCCATCACTGGTACCGGTTCCATGTCTATCTTTGGTACATCCATTTTCTCCCAATTCTTGGCCCAAAGATATAGTTTCGGGTGATCTTTCTTTCTATATAAATTCAAGCAAATTAGTCGTTATAGTGCAGACATAAAAACTTTTCCAAGAAGGCAGACGTATAACTTTATAACTTACTCTGCCACGTTGATTTTTACGCGCATACTGTGAAGAAGTTGTTGAATTTGTAAAAGTGCAGCAACCAAGTCATAAGAACGCTTCAACATTGCAGTCCTTTGATTTATCTTATGCTGATTTCGAGTTCGGTTAGACAAGCTGCAAATTAAAAAATCAATAAATAACATATAAACAGATTACTATATATAAATAATTATAATCACACGCAATCTAAATATAAATGTAAATACATTAATAAATAACCTTGACAATTTTCCTTCTTTAATCCAGTCCTGATCGTGGTAATATTTCTTAGACGGCCGTAGTCGATACGGATTTTGACATATATAACAGATGTATTTCTCAGGAACATCCTTTTCCTTTTCAATAAAATTACAATGTCCATGTTGCCAGCAGAGACAGAGATCGCACTGTATCATTAAACCGTCCTCTTCCATAAAACCACATGTGCAATTTATTATTTCTTCTCTCCGAAGTTGTTCTACTTTTACCAGTTCGCCGTTAATCATCATCATCACTCCTTCGCTTCCTGTGATAAGTCATCACATTTATATAAAACACTCATATAAATAATTTATAGTAAAGAGACGCGTGTGGTGAGAAGTATCAAATACGTGTCGTGTTTCTTGCGAGCACATAAAGTAATACAACGAAAATAAGATTGGCAATATGTGAAATCATAAAACAAAATCGATAAAAGATAAAAAAAAAATAAAAAATGTACCTTCTGCATCATTATTAATATCTGTTTTGATTGCATCCCCTTTTAAGGGATCAGCTTTTTCAATGCGTGAATCATTTAGTTGACCTAAGAAACAACAGAAATAATAGTAAATATTATACAACGCATTTTACTTTAAAGGATCCCATGTATATATAGCTGCATTAAATTAAAAAAAAAAAAAAGCTATCTAAAACAAAATAATTTTGGCTTTCGTAACGTATCGTTTTGTAAAGTACGGCAAAACGCTCGCACTTACTATTCTGACTATTTTCGTCGCTCTTTGAGTCAGATTTTCTACGGCTATATCTATACATAAGTGCCGTAGGTCCTTCGACGTCCATAGCACTATCGTCTTGATCACCAAAATTGTCGGTAAGATCTAACATACCTAGCCAAAGGAATATTGAATGCTGTGTATATCATTATTTTTTTTCGTAAATTAATGAAATGTAGAACTTGTCTTAGAACACAAGTCTTTTAAGAAAACATGAGAGCTTCTTACCATGCCGTTTTTTTGCTTTAGCCGGCAAATCCACGCTATGTTCGGTAAGTTGCTTTTTCTTCTGGTTTTTTACACGCTCACCGTGCGCCATTTCATCCAAAGATTTCGTCCTGTCGGCTCTTTGCGCCTCCGATATCGCAACTGGTCTTACAGGCAATAGCGTTTTAATGCCACCCTGCGCTTTTTCCTCTTTCACTCTCATGTCAAATAATGTACCAGGGGACAATGCGCAGACGTTTTCTCTTTTCCTTTCAATATCGTCGTCTATCTCCATACTGTGATTAGATATTTGTGACATTGTTTCAAGTTTCGTATCTTCCTTCTGCAAATCATTACACTTTTCTGACTGATCCAATTCCACTTCTTCCGGCATCATCGGACCAGGTATTGACGGAGATGTCGGTTGCATAGTATTAACCGCTGATTGTAGTAAAGTAGACGATGATTTCTCAGGAAGAGATTTCTTCTTCGCGGATTTATTTATTTTCTCTGAGAACGTTATTGATTTTTTGGGAATTATATCCTCTACAGATTCCCCAATCGTTCTTGCGTAAGCCAGATCTTCAACTTTGGGAGTAGAGCCCAGAAACTTGGAATATTCAGGATGGTAATGCTTGATATGCATCTGCAGTAAATTTTCCTTTCGAAAATTCTTGTTGCATCCTTCCTTGGGACATTTATAAGCGCTGTCTTCCATTTCCACACGAAGTCCACCACGAAGTCCAATAAAGACGGCTGTTTGAGAAAATATTAAATAAATCGCATTATAAAGTGTTCTAATAGAAATTCATCCATATAATAGAAATAAATCTACTAAATTTTGCCAAAAATTGTTTTGTTTTAGATATCCTTTTTTCTAATTTCTAATAGATTTATTTCTATTGTTATATAACATTTAAAAAATCATCACATATAATCTACTCTATTTAAAAAATAAACAAAATAATAAAAGATTAACTTTTAGAAAAGTATAAGTCGAGACTATGTAAATCTACATTCCTTCGTTAAGAGTCTATTTAATTTCGTAAAAAATACGTATCTACGAGTACTTACAATAGATCATCTCTGGTGAATTAGTGGAATGTAAAAAACATCGCAAAGATTAAAATGTGATGCAGATTAAAACGTAGTATATCACAGAAATCTTACCACCATCTGTAGTAGATGTAGTAGGCGTCGAGGGGATAATTGGAGTATCGATACTGTTCGTCATTGTAGGAAGTAATGTAGTCTCAGGTGTGGACGTTTTCGTTTTAGGCAATAAAGTTTTGATCTTCTTTGGTGCCTCCGGTGTAACTTCTTGCTTCACACGATGAGCGTGGTTTCGCTTCCTGCGATGTATACAGAAGTCAAATTTTTCAGGGTCGAAATCGTACTGCCCCTGATTCTCCATAAATACTCTGATGTCATTTCTTGATCTGAACTTCTTCCCGGTCTGCTTACTTTTAAGAAAAATGTGATCATACATAAATTGTATTATTTAACATAATTATTGCTAGTAAAATATATCTTTCATCTTACTGTATGAACAAGACGTCCCATTTTCCAGCAGATGAGCCAGCTTTCCTTTGCGTAAAGTGTTTTTCCCAACCGGCAGGCAATCTCTTATCTGGTACTATTATAGATCGGCGTGGTCCTGGAATAAATTTTCATGTTACGTTAAAATATTATTGACACGTTTACGAGATGCAAAAATATTTTTTAATAAAATTGCACTAACCATCATTACCATCTACAATATAAGATTCTGTTCCTCGTGGCTCTCCATCGACCCATTCGGGACCGACGTTTTCCTCAGGATCCATTTCGATCTTGGGTACTTCCTTCTTGCTTTTCTTCGAATACGATTTGATTTTCAAGGAACTGGTTTCGAAACCTTTCAACAAATCTGTCCCTGGATCGTAACAGGGACCATATAGGGTACCATCCATCTCGATCTTGCTCTCCGCAGAGCCTTCACCACTTTCCTTGACGATAATTTCCTCCTTCTTTGGTGCTTTCTCAGTATCGTGTTTTGTGCGTTTCCTTGAGTGAATGTTAAACAACTCCATAACTGTGTGCCTCCGTTTCTTATCCCTTCTTTCTTGTTTGCTGCCGATATATCCATCCACTTCATTTAATTGCTGTTTATGTAAAATAAAAAATCAATTTACAAACGACGTAAACATAATATAAATCTTATGGAACGTACGTCCGAGAATCTCAATTAAAAAATTTCATCTGCAGTACAGCTTGTTCCAAGTTTTTGCCACGGAATCACTTTTTACATTCTCATGGCTAGGCTGAGGTGATAATTGAGAAATAACACAAGGTGATACTAAATCCAATGTGATTATCCACCACTTGGCTCTACCAACTCAGATGAGATTTCTTTAGGTAACTTAAGAAACAACAACATAACCTCAATCTGGGAGTCCTGTACCTTGGTCGGATTTGCGGCGATCTTGGTCATTTTCGACGACTTGACGATCTTCGCGTATCCATCGTCGAACAGCACGTTGTACCTGTCTGCGAAGAAGATTTTTACTTAGAACTACCTCCGCGCGCCATCGGGCCAGAAAAAAACGTTACATCTACAGGCTTGTCTCCGACGAGCCAAACGTCAAATCTACGGGAACGCAGTCTAGCCTCTTCCGCTTGCGGCTAGGGGTTAGGTTAGGTCGCTTACCATTCGTCAGGACCGCGCTCACTTTGGCTGGATATTTTTTGCCGTCCGCCCACGTAGCGAGTATCCGCTCTCCCACGGAGAACTCCCTCATCTTCGCCTCCCTGCAGGTGCGAAATCCTGGCATTACACACGCGAATGGAGAGCTCGCGAGAGCGTGGGGTTCAACGAAACGGGGGAAAACTGCGAGTGAGGGTTGGGGTGGGGGAGAGGAAGGAAAAAATACGAGTCTCGTGCCGTTGGGGTTTCTCATCTTCCCCCTCCCCTCTCCTCGAAAATAACATCAGATCTTAGATCGTCAAAGTACAATTGTTTTGGAGACCCATCTGGAGCCGAAAGACGGATCCAGCGATGTTTTGGTGCAAAAGAAAAATTGTTGCAAATTATATTTTTATTTTTATTGTATTATATATTTTTGCTTGCGCAGCATAAAGGAATCAGAGTCGATGTATATAGTGAAAAGTGTGAACATTTGTGTGTTTCGTTGCTCGAGAATATTTGGAGAACGGGCCCGATATTCGCCATCACGCCATGCCCTTGCAAAGATGATCAGTATGGGGGTTTTAAATTATAGTTCTCATACTTAACTCTCTTTGTTAATTGCAGCACATAAACAAGTATGTAAAATAATGAAATTACTACTGTTACTATCAGGTACTAGAACTACCTAATCGTTAACACAATTTTCACTTACGGAGATGGCGGGGTCCAAGCTTGTTCGCTTTAAGGAAAGACAAAATACAATGGCTTAAGATTTAAGTTCCTTAGGTCTTTGAGAAAAATGTAGAAGTGAATTAAATAAATTTTGTTGATGCGCGTTACAATTCCGACGATTGAATCAGAATACAAACTTACTTTTGTGGGGATTGCAATACGCGAAGCCTGGAGCTATCCATCGGTATCCATTCGTCAAATCTCGAACTCCATTTGTCGAAGTGTATCAAAACTTCCCTTTCGTCCCAATCTGTTTCTACCACTTTTGCAGAATACCTACAGAATATCGCATAAATATTAATCAATGTATATTTATTTTGTCCGAGCTTTTAATAACGTAATTTTTAAACGCGCAATTCACATCTCGTCTACGTAAGGCATTTTTTGTATCGCACGATAACTTCTCACAGTTTTCAGAGGAAAACTGAGATATCTTTTTATTGAAATTTTACTCGACGATACTTGCCACTTCTCGTTAAAGTCTTTAGCTTCCAATTTGGCACCGGGGAAAAATTTCAAACCACCACGATTCAAAACCTTTGGTTTCAATTCTTCCGATTTGTCGAATTCCTTGTCGCCGGGTAATTTTAATTCTTCCTTTAGGTCTTTGGCACCAGTCTTCATTGCCGTTTCCGGTTCGACGATACCAAGTTGCATCGCTACTGTATTCACTTTATTGTCGACCGAATTCTCGGTCGATTTGTCCTTCGCGGATACCTTGCTCTCTTCTCTCGGATTTGTCGCTTTATATTCATTATCCGTTACTTCCGTGCTGTCAGGGAGATTTAAGGAGTCTGCCGACGACTCGGGTCTAGAATAACAAGTCTCGCCGCAACTGTCGGATTTAGGTGTTCTCGCCTCGGACAACAACGGTGAGGCAGAATGTTCCAAATTTAGTATTTCCGAATTGATCAGGTCCAAGTCTTCTTGAGCGTAGGATGTAGAAGACTTCACGGACATAATTACAGGATCTGTGTGAAAGGGCAGAAAAACAATAACTAACGATAATTGTTCACCAATCTTGATAAGAATATATAATTATGTACATATAAAATTCAGGTACAATTTTTATCCATGCTTACATATCGCAGGAAAAATGAACTGAAATAAAATTAAGTTCGATAAATTTATTTTACGAAATCGTATTCTTCTGAAGAAAAAGAAACGTTTTTATTTTTATAAAATTGACTGAATCCAGGTATAAAGATAAACTGATGGGAACGCATATAGGATATCCCAAAATATCGAACGTTTTATCTTTGTAATATAGATAGACTCTTTATCTCATAACTTAAAAAATTGACCGAAAAGTATATGTATTTGTTTCGCCAATAATTAATAAACGAGAAAGACTATTTTTATATTCGACAACGTTTGGCTAATGTGACAATTGTCACGAAATAAACCAAACGTTGTCGAATATAAAAATAGTCTTTGTCGTTTAAAAAAATTGAATTAAATTTGTCTTTCCTTTCTCCTGAAAATTGTGGATTTTTTAGTTGTGACAGTACTCGTAAGGATGTGATATGAATACAATCGGATTTACGATATGTTACAGTGAAGGCGTAAACATTCGGTAATTATATAACTACTGGTACAAATATATACTTATTTAAGATTTTAAAGAAATATAAATGCTAGTCTACAACCTTGCTTTAAAGGGTATTTAAGCTCCGAGCCATAAGAAATTGACCAATCACAGTGGAATGTGAGGAGAATACTCGACTGTGATTGGTCAATTTCTTACGGCTTAGAGCTTAAATGCCCTTTAAAAGCAAGGTTGTAGACCAGCACTAAAGAATGAAAATGTCAACATATTCATTGATACTATATGCACTTACCAGCAAATGTATACGCTTCATTAAAACACTTTAGTAAAAGCATACCGATTGATACAAATTGTTTGCAAATTGCATACATCATTAACAAATAGTTCATTAATTAAGCCGAATACAATTCGATACTTTTTTATTTAACTGAAATAAATAGAGGAGCAAAAGTACATGGACTATAACATGATCTTTAATTTTTCAAGTGTACAAAAGATGACCAAGTTCTTAGTAAAAGCTTATATTAGCTATTCTTAGCAAAGTATGGTTTATTCAGTTTATTGCATCATTTATTGCAACACACACTAGAATTGCCACTCTGAATTGTACATGTTATTTGCGTATACTCTTGCTTTTAAAATAAGTCCATACATTTGTCAGTAAAAGTATATAAACTGTTTTGATTTCTGGTACTTTTAAATGACAAAGTTAACATACGTATAAGCCTCCTAGGGAGCGTATTACTGACACGATTATTGATGTCATGCCTTCACTGTAAAAATAATAGCTCGTCGCGCTTGCGAGTAGGTACCGGCTTGGCGAGTTATCGCCGGCGAACGTTCGAACGTCGCTGATCACTCGATCCTATTCTCTGCGGTGCGTTCGTCAACGCCGGCGGGCGACGGTGTGGCGTGACACACCGTCGTGAAACACCGGCGTGCCGTCGCGAGGAAAAAAGCGGGCTCGTATAACTACCGGCATAACGCCGGCGCGACGTGACACGTTCTCTCGGAGAGCTCTCGAAGCTGGCGCTCCTATACTCCTCGAACACGCGCGACGAGGAGAGGATCAGGCGGTAAGACGGGTGGAGGGGAGGAGCACCGCGGGAGGAGGACACGCGGTAGAGATGAGCAAGGCAGGAGGGGGAGAGGAGAGGAGCGTGTGCGCGCGCGCGCGCACGCGAGAGGGACAGAGACGGAGACGGAGATGCGCGAGACGCAACTACGTTGCGTTTTCACGCCCGACGTGCACTTCGCTCTCGCGACACCAGGCGGACGGACGTGTCGTCCACTCGTTCCCCGTCTCCCCCCCCCGTCCGGCCGCTGGCCGCACACATAACACACGTACCGGGATGCTCGTCATAGTCCGCGAACACCGTGGGCACGCTGCCCCTCTTGAGCAGGAGCTTGTGACCGCCCCGCGCGGTCTCGTAGTCGGCTCGTTTGAAATGCCTATGGCAGACGACCTGGCCTGGCGTCGGCTTGAAACTCTCCTCGAAGCCGCCGCTGGCCAACCACCTGTCCCTCAGCGCGGCGTCCTTGGGGAACTTGTGCAGCGGCAGTCCTTTGGCGCGCGCCTCCCGCACGTCCGCCTTGCAGCTACGCACGCAGCATTTGCGCGCCATTCCCATCGCCCCCGCCGCCGTCGCCGCCGCCACCGCCGCCGCGGTTACGGCGGACGATACCCTCCCCTCGGCACGCGAGCGCGGTATACGCCGCCGCTTCATCTACACCCCGCCGGCCGCTACATAGCGGTAGCGTTGGCACTCCGCGGCACGTTCCGCCGCGCGGAGACCGGGGAACGTTGCGCGTTTCCGCGTGCGGACGCTCGTGGAACACGGCACACACGCACAGCACACACGCACTCACCACGTTCCGCGTGGATCACGACCTTACCGCCTCGCGCGGGATGCGCGAGTCTCTCTCTCTCTTTCTTTCTTTCTCTCTTTCCCTTGTCTCTCTCGCCGCGCGCTCCGCTCGGTGTTGCGCCAGTGAACACTTTGACTTTGTGGAACACCCGCGAGGACCGACCAATCGTTTCGGCTACACGCGCGACACTGATCAACCGATCGATACGGCAGCATCGTACTCATCGTAGCAGCCGGAATCTCCGATGTCGCCGTAGTCGCCGCGACGAAATCCAGGGGCGCTCGCGTCGCGTCACCGGCAGAACGCGCCCGCGCGAGTCGAATCGCGGCGTAAAGGCTCTCTGCGCACAATATTGAGCACATGTTAGGAATAACAGTAAATATTGAATATTAGGATGTATAAACATAAGGAATATTCTTGTATTTATATCTTATATTTTATTCTTTTCTATTGTGTGTGTAAAGGCCTCCGCACAATGAAAAATATAAGGAACAAGGAACAGATATTAGCGATTAGGACTAAAAGAATCAAGAATAAAGTTGGATGCACGATGAAAAATATAAGCAACGGAAACAGGGAATAACACAGACAATAGATTTTTAATCTATCGGAAGCCGCGTATTAATGCTACACCAGCTTTATTCCTGATATCTTATTTCTAATCGCTAATATCTAATCCTTGTTTCTTATATTTTTCATTGTGCGGGAGCCTTTACGTTTAATTATTATTTTTAATTCCGATTCCTAATGTTTAATATTTATTCTTATTCCTAACATGTGCTCTATTGTGTGCAGCGCTTAACTCTTTGCAGTAGAAAATAATAAAAGGCGAAGAACTAAGAACTGGACGTGTAAAGCGAAAAGCAAATACTTAACGGCATGTTAAATACCCTCATATAAAAATAATAATAAAATACGGAGAGCATCTTTTTCCGCAGTTACATTATAGATGATAATCTCGTTGATAATCTCCGAGGGATCGCATGTCCATCTGTTCCTCGGCAAGTGAAGAGGAAAACGTCTGATGCGAATTATTACTACATAAAGCTGAAAGGGCTCGTTTAAATATGGTAAAGTTTATTTAATAACATCACAGATACAATAATTATGTACATAAGAAAGCGTCAGCATTTTTTCGAGGCTGCACACTTCCGTCTCTATCTCACTTGTCAACACTGTAAGCACTGAAGTACTAAGTTTCGGAAAAAAAGGTGCTGCACGAGGGCGGATATTTGACGACTTCGGCAAGGATAATTCCGCTTCCGAGTTACGAAATCGTATAGTCTAAAAATCATCCGGTTCCGTCCGGGACGCGCTCCTCATCCTCGAAACCGAGAAATTTGGCTAGTCGCCTTCCGGACGGGCGATTTTTTTTTTTTTTTTTTTTTTTTTAACGACCATTTCCGTCTCCGAAGTATTATAGATTGTCCTCGGACGAAGACAATTTGTCGAATACGTAAAGTTTCAGTTGAGCATCGTGCCTCTGCGGTGGCGGGGCAGAGTCGGGCTTCGCCACTTGCGAGGCACATGGAGGATCTATGGTACGGGGTAACAAGGTACGGTTGAGCTCGGCCATCGAGGCAGTTGGGTCCTTCAGGGGTAGGGTAACTTCTCTTAAAGAGTCCGTGGGTGAGGGAGGAAGCACCACTTTCTCGGGAGCATTTTGAATAAATATCACCCTGGAACAGAGACAGACATGATCGAGACCCGAGTACTTGTACGCAAACGTACGAGAACCCCAAGTATAGCTTACCTATTAAATGCTCGCCACTTTCTGCATAATGTAATATACGCTTTGCATTGAATATACATAAAAACTAATCCGCCAGTAGAACCGATCACGACGACTATCAATTTGGTCCAGAAGGACCAGTCGACGAATCCGCGACGGGCCTCCTCCACGGATCGTTCAACGAGTACGTATAACGACCATGCCACGCAGAGCGCGGCGACGGCGTGAAAAGCGACTGCGCACCATAATTTTCGGACTTCCAGCGCGGACATCTCGAGCTTCTCCCACTGCAAAGACGTTACATCTCATTTATATTTGGCTGGTAATTGTAGTACGACAGAATCGTGGCATTTTTCATTCATGGGAGAAATTTTCCTATGGTGGAACACGTTCGCCTACCTCGCAGAATGGTTTTGTCTTGGCATGCATGATAAATGTGAACTTGCACAATTCGCAGGCGCGCGTGTCTGAAGCTTTTATCCATTGTTGAAGGCAAGCCTGATGCACGTAGCGCAGACTGCCGCTGCAATAGCAAGGCGCTAACAATGGGGCGCCTTCTTCACCCTCGCAATGGCAGATCCTATTTACAAAACGCATAAGATTTCCTCGTAATGAAATAAAGATTGTAGACGTAACTATAAACAACTATAATAACTAAGTGACACAAGTTGACACAAGTGTCGTTTTATCTTTGTTACTCATTGCCAAAAAAGAAAGATAGAACGACGTTTGCGTCGCTTGCTGGAAAGCTCCCTACAAATGGTACAGATGTACAATATACGATTACGATACATACATAACGTTAATATGGTCCATTTACCTGCAAATATCATGGTTGGTCGAAGATAACGTGCTTACGGACGAGTGGCAATCATCTGGTATAATAGTAACTACTGTACCATAAGTAAAATTCTGAAATAAATATACTTCTGAGTCATGGCAGGAAGAGGTCATTATCAAAGTATCCTCTTATCTTTCTATACAATTTATGTCTACACACAAGTACTTTCCAGATGATACGTTATCGTGATAAATTAATAAATTATCAAGGTGACATAAAATTATAATATCCAAGAAAAAAATAATTCATTTTAAAACACTGCGTTTCATATATTTGCTCTCATAATATTGCTTCTATAATTTAATTAATTTAATTCTTTATTTTTGAAACACAACATACAGGATGTCCTGTACTAACTCTTTCAAACTGCAGATTCTTTAGTTCATATTTCGTATTTCGCATTTCCTTAACGAAAATATCAGGATAAATTACTTGTTGTAATTTTCTTATTAAAATTATACATCTCTGTATTCGAATCTCAAGTTAACTTTATCAAAGCCCTCTTAAAATTAACTGAAGAATATGATTTTGTTTCATTGTCTTTTCCAAAAGAAACATTTATTTCCAGTCATATAAAGTAATTCAGAACTGTGATTAAAATTAATATTTCTATAAGGGAAAACTCAACACAAAGACTCTGCAGTTTGCAGAAAGTGAGTACATAGCGGTAAAAGACGTTCTATATTCTCATTCTGATGACGACTTAAAGGAATCAAAGTATTGTGTGTTAACTCCAAACTAGAAAAGATCACCTGGGGTATCCATTCTGACAGAGCTTCTCCACCAGCGGGACTCGTATTATTGGAAGGACCAATTGACAATGGTGGTTGCCAATCAGGCGGATTAACATTAATCTGATGAACCGGCATTACTCTCCAACCCTCGCCAAATATATAATCACTGACAATAAAATTTGATTAAATGTATCTTGGATACATGGTTATATTAAGTTTTTTTTTGGTAGAGTCCTCACGCCAATATTATTATGTTCACTCGTATCTTTCAAGCATTATTCAGCCTTTAACATTAAAATGTGTACAGCCTGGAATCAGACATACAAGTGTTACGTTTATAAACAGATCTATAATTAGCATGTATGAAGTCATTTTGCATATGCTATACAAAAGTATTATATATATGTATACATATATATATATATAATATGCATACGTATATATATGTTGCTGAAACATCCAAGTGCAACCTCTTTGCATAATTATGTAATAACTATAATCTGCTTGCAGGAGCAACTTTTGCACACACACACACACACACACACACATATATATACACACATGTTTACGTATTCATTTTGCCAGTATGTCTGCCAACATATTCGAGCTATTAACGTCCATCCAACGACTGAATAATTAACTTCGGATTAAAACAATCTATTTGGCAAACTCCGGACGGTATTTCGAAAAACTAAAGGACAAATCCACAAACACAAACGTGTCAACAATACATTCAATGACATTTTCGCGTAAGGTTAAATACGGCAGACAATAGATTTTTTTCCTCTCTCTCTCTCTCTTTCTCTTTCTCTCGAGGGAAACCGATGGAAATCGGGCGTTATTGGAAAAACAAGTCGCTTCGCGAACGAGATCGAAGGAGAGCGACGAGGTATAAATTGGCATGCGTGTCGTGCTGCGTCGCAAATCGCGTAGAAGTCCTCTCTCGTGTTTCGCGCGAGCCGAGCGAAGGTGAAAACGCTTCGTTTAATATCTCGAGACTCGCGCGAGACGCGAGACGATGATTTTTCCGCGTCACACCGCGGAAAGAAGAGGCGAAGGAAAACAAAGCCGCACACCGACATACGTACGCATACATACACACGCTCCTGCTCGCCGTGTCGGGCCTCGGGCCGCGCCGTGTTATGTTGTCCTCGGTCTCTCGCGTCTTCCGCCAGCCAAGTGACGAAGAGAGGGATCCGCGCCGCCGGGCCGGCGAAAATTATTCGCGGACGAATTTAATATTACTCGCGAAACGGGGGGGATAAGGTAGGGGGGAGAAGAGGCGGCGAAAAACGGGCACGGGAGCAGAGATTTTGACACTTCGCCCTGAGTCAATGACACGGACACGGGAGAGGACTCGTTGTTCGTTGTCTCTCGCCTCGATTCCGCGTGTGCGCCCGCGCGCGCGCGCGCGCGCGCGTGTGTCCGTCCGACCGGAGACGGAGAGTCGGAGCAGACGAAGCGGAGCGGAGCGGAGTCTGCCACTGTCTCTTAATCGCGGTTGCTCTCGGCGTGCACGTAACACCGTCGCGGGCGCGTAGACGCGCTGACACTCGCCGCGGTAGCTCACGACTCTCGCGAGACGACGACCAAATCGTGCGCCGTCGCCGTCCTCATCGCAGCGCGCGCGCGCGCGCGCCAGACCCTTCCCTCCCGCGCCAAAGACGGGCTGCGCTCACTGCGCTGCGCTTTACCCCCAGTTTTAAATACTTTTATTCCACTACTCCGATCCGTGGTCCGTCTTGAGCCGTCTGCTACGCCGACATGACGTGCGTGACGTAGGCGGTAGGCGCGGCCTTGGACGCGGCCCGGCCAATGACGGGCCGCGTGAGCGCTGCCGGGTAGCGTCTCGCCAATAATAGCGCGGGATTTCGAATCCGCGCTCGCCGAACACCGCTGGGCGTCCTTTTATCGCCCGATAAGCACGCGGGGTTTCCAAGTTTCCGATGTTCCGATTACTCGCCCGCCCGATCGCGATAAAGTCTCGCTGTAGATACCGTTTATCTCGAGTTAAGGGATCTGTTTGGGAAATTTTCGCACGTTTGCTGTTTATAGCGCGTGGGCGGGGGCAATCGGTAGCCGCGATCGAGGCGGGACTCGGAAGGGAATTGATCGAAAACAGATATATATTATATATGTATCTGTATCTTACGATAGATTTTGTCAAATACTTTGTTTATTATTTACAATTAGTAGAACGTATGAAGGTCGGAAACATCTTATCCTCTTCTTGTTGTGCCATTTTTACTTAAAAATTATTCGATGCTGGACTGTAGAAAATATCTTGACTATTTTTATCGTTAATTGAGAAGCGGCAAAACACATTTATTTAGAATGAAGATTGCATTGATTAAGATTAAAAGAAACATTATCAAGTGATGATCGATCTAGTCTAACTGTGTTAAAACTACGGCAAATGTTGCATTTGGAGGTCGATTATTACACTTCGGTGCATTTTCCGTTTGACAAAATCATATAGTAGCATGGATACTTAACAGTAATAACATATAAATAACTAAGAAACTGAAATAACTTTTACCTGTACAAACTTTATACAAGTAGGTAACTTTCTACAATTGTAGCTGTTCGGACGTTAATAGGCGTTGTTTTGTTAACAAAAACTAAGAATTTTTCAATACACATTCCCACTGTAAACGGATGCATATATGTGATATATGTAATGGGTGAATCGTATGAAAGAAATTAAAATTGATCGAGACGAATCTTGTAATTTTACTTACCTGAAATTCCTATAGCAGTTCCGAAGAAAAATAATGCTGCACTTCTCATCATTGTCTATATATTTTTATTCTTCTTCGTTGAAAATGTCAAAGAAATTTCTACACCTCTTTATAATAGACTTTACTTGCGAACAGGATTACCTTGCTGTGTGTCTACGTAGATAATGACAAATAATCGTTTTCCTATGAGAGCTAACAGATACCTCAAAGTCACATGCTACAACTAACGTAAACAGTCAAGTAAATACATTGACATACAATATGAACACTTCTGTGTAAATTATACATATATATATATATATATATATATATGTGTGTGTGTGTATAGGTATACGCAGTGTGTGTTACGCATACACTCACACATACATATATCAAACTCATAAATAATTAAAAAACATGATATCAAGTTAATTGTTTTAATATGATTTGGCTTTAATATAGATATGGCTTGAAACAGATAAATTTATATCATGTGTTATTTTCAAAATATATTATAGTGTATCAGTGTCAATTTCAATATTTGATGAAACTGCAATTGAAAAGATAATTTTTATTTCTTTGTCTCTGTGTATGTAGATATGAAGACATAAATGTTTAATGAATGTCAATAGAAAAGTTTATTACAAATTTATTATACATGTACGTCTCGAATGTTTCAGCTGCCATATCTTTTTGCTAATTGTAAGTCCATGAAAAATCATTTCAATAAAAAAAACCCGATCAGATTGTATAGTAACAAATTAATTTTTTACTTATGTAATTGTTTTATAATTGTTATTTTGAAAATCAAAATTTGTTGAAATTGATCAATCTCGAATAACAAATTTTTTTAATTAGAGGCCTTTAAATACTACAAATTTAGTATCTTATATCCAGAAGCAAAATAAGTTTAACAATAAGATATTAATTAATAGAACATATATGTTGGATCTGTTTTTTAAAAATTAGAAAAATATTACAACACACCTTTCTACGACAAAGAAATAATTGAACTTCTAATACTTATAAACTTATGTACAAATGGAATCACAAAATGGAATTACAAAACGAAATACTAGAAAAATAAGAGAAGAGATATAGAAACTGTCAATAATAATGAAAGATATAAACGAGGTTTTATGCTATAGCTATTTTACAGATCGGGTATTTTTTTTTAACGAACAAAGAAATAACTAAAGCAGATTTATAATAATTTTGAACTTGTATATAAATAAAACAAAATAAAATACTATAAAAAGATATGGACTTGTGACATTTGTTAACAGCAGTTAAATATATAAACGAGTACAAGATTTTAACGTTATAGCTGTTTTACAAGTCGGACATTTTTTAGATATACGTATGAATGACTCCAGACATTCTATGCAAAACAGATGTCCGCAACGAGTAGTAATGGGCTTTAAATTGGAAGTTAGCGACTCGAGACATATCGGACACGTTAGAGGTATTGGTTGCCTATCATCCGATTCGACTATGCAATATGGTTTATCGTCCTCTTTATTCGTGTCATCGACGGTCAAAACTTCGTTCGAGCTTGTGGCACGAGACATTCTTCTCTTCTTTCTAGGATTTTTCCTAAAAAGATATTCTTAGCTGTAGAATAAATTGTCTATCTATTATCCATTATAAGATATAAACACACAAGGTATATACGAACGTTTGACCATCCGGTATGTTCCCTACAACTATAGGGGATAAGGGTCTCCTACAGCGACAAGCTGAGCTGTTGGTTACACTAGAAGCTACGTCTCCGGCATTTCTTTGACGTGATCTTGATGTCCTGGCTGATCCCGATGGCGATTCTTTAGTTAAATCGATAACGTCTATTAGGGTAGGCGAAATGTCCACGACTGAATCATTCATGATTGAATCATCGGTAACGTCCTCATATACGTTGACACGTACGCGTATCATCTAAAATATTAATAATATACATAAAGATACAATTAAGATATCATCATAAATTTGTTTCCTTTAGTGGTCATTATAAAAAAAACATGTAAATTTAATTAGATTTTTTATTATTATTACAATAAAGACAGATTGGCAGAAGCTATTTTATGTAAAATTAGGGTTATTTTACAATACGTCGCGGACGATGGCAACTGATTAGTTGAAAAGTGTTATTTCCGGTTGCGCTTTCCAGTTGCAGTTGTCAAAAGAAAGTTGGCGAACTTTTAACTTTTTGGCAATCGGCAACCGAAAATAGCACAATTCTCAAGCAGCAACTGCCATCCTTCGCGACTGGCGAGCGCCGTATTATTAGCGTTAGCGACGTATATTGTAGAAACTTTCACATGATAACGAAAACGTGTGCAGGTACGGGGTTAAGTTGTAGATATAATGATGCAATTACATTACGCGTTCCTACAATTCTCACAATTCTCGCGACGATTTAACGAAAAATGCATTAGCTCGTTATATTAGCAGGTATCGCCATGTGAGGTATATACCTGGTTTGCAAGAATTGTTTCGGACTATTTCAGAGTTTCCGATCGTCTCCTTGTGCTCTTCTTCTTCTTTGAGCTCCTCGTTGAAATGGGAAATGGGAATCGATCCTACAGGGTTCGATACGACCAACGTCTCTTCGTGCTCATTGGAAACAATATTTTTCAAATACTCACGGATCAGCTGTTCTCGCAATCGAGTAGGAGCAGAGCAGTATCGAATGATTTGACCTTTGACTATTGGCTGCCAACAGTGCTAACCGTGTGTGCTGCTAGTAGCAGTAGAATGATTGGCCGCGTTCAGCAGACCAAGCTGCTGAGTAGCAGTCGAACGTGATTGGCTCTTACTTTTAGAACCAACAATCAACGCAGAGTGTTGATAAGACGAACTCAACAATTGTGTATGCTGAACGCGCTCATTGGTTCTTACCTTTGACTTTAACCAATGAGAGCGGTCTAGTGAATTCTGTAATTGTGCTAATTCGCAGTGCCGTCACATCCATTTTATCACCATTTTATCGTGGACGTAGGAACGGTAGGAGCCACATCCATTTTTCTAGATGGTTGGGTTGCCTCGGTTTTTATACCCGTGGCTTATTAGTGAACTGAACCAACAAATCTGTGTGGAGAGAAACACGAACCACGAACGTTTTATATCGCCGATCTTGCTCAACTTTCCACGTGAACGAGGTGAAGAGATGTCGGACGAAAAGGAGAAGGACGAAGAAAAGCCTGTGGTGCCAAAGACGGCCGTGGATCTGCAAAGATTAAAACTAATGAAGCTAATGAAGAACGCGGTAAATGTCTGCGTCAAGGCTTCCGGATCTATCTATTAATCTAATGTGTTGTCGGATCAGAATTTGTATGTTAATTCGCGCTTTATTTATACAGGATAAGCCGGTTATGCTACCGGAACGTCCGAAGGCCAAGAATACACCCTCCGTACCGGAATTCGTTCGTAACGTGATGGGTAGCAGTGCTGGAGCAGGCAGTGGAGAGTTTCATGTGTACAGGCATCTACGACGTAAAGAATACGCCCGACAAAAATTCATTCAGGAGAAAGCACACAAGGTGATTACTGTGTAGTATAATGTATAAAGGGTTGCGCCTAGCAATCGTTAATCTTTTTTTCGTTTTAAAAATATTTTTCTCTTGTCAAAATTGTAGGAACATTTGGATGACGAATATCATCAGAAGCTAGAAGAGTACAAGAGATTGTCAGAGGAGGCAACGGCAAAGAAACGTGCTAAGAGATTGAAAAAGAAGCAGCTACGTAAGCTGAAGAAACGTATGAAAGCTAAGAAGGAGGACAACGCCGTCGTGGACGAGAAGCATAGTGAGAGCGACAGTTCGGATGAGGATGAAACTAAGGCTGTGGAAAGCAGTGAAGTGACTGAAGAAAATGACAGTTGTCCCAAAAACATATCTACAACTTCTACAAGTGAAAGTGAGGTAAAGGCAACGGAGATGGAATCGTCGTTACCTGTGGAAGAGAGTCAAGATGATACATTAAAGGCACCATCTGAGGTATCAAGTGAAAATATTCAATGTGAAAGCGGCACTTGACATGTCTCTTGTTGAAATGAAGATTATGTAATATGTATAGTCAATGTATTATTTATCAGTTTACTCATCCGTGATTAGAATTATATATTGTGCTATATTATGTACAATTATATATATGTATAGTGAAAAGTCTCACACATGTGTTTTTATCTATGAACAATGTTGAAATAATTTAAACTTTAATTTACATATTAAGATCTTTTTTTTCTATTAGCAAAATTGTAAATTGCAGTAAACAGCTGGCAGAAATGTGCACATTGGAAAATTATGTTGCTTCATTTTATTTTACTTGTACAAATCTACATTGTAGAGGTAATGGCATCTAGATTGTCGTAACGATTAGTTCTTTCGAATATATTTGCTAAAGATTGAGCGATCTGTCGTTCTTCAACAGAACAACATGTGTTCCGCGCATGTTGTTCCAATTGGGCTTTTGCCTTAATTATATCTCCCAGCTTTTCAGGTAAAACAGTCTCCTACAAAAAAATTTTAATAGAAATTACAAAATTCTAATCTACGTTATATTTAATTTAGTAATTTATATTTTATGTGACACACGCTATACCTGAAACTGCTTTATAAAATTGGAAATTTCTTCTACATGATCACCAATTTCAATCCAAAGACTTTGCAGTTCGGATTTCTCTGTACAGGCAGCGACACGTCCAAGAGTAAGGCACAACTAAAAAGTATATTCAACTTGTTAAATAATAATAATTAAAAAGTTGATACATTCTATGTTAATATCAACAATTCTAAGTATATATTGTGTAAGGAAGCATTCTCTTACTTGTTGAATCAGTGCGTCTCGATGCGGATATTCAACGTAGCTCGGGACATGTTGAGCATTTTCAAATGCTAATACAATACTTTTCCACAATGTTACAGTATACTTGCCGTAACAGTTACACGAAGACAGTGCCCACGCGGCATTGGTGCGCACTTTAAAATTAGGACTATTACATATCAAAGTGCAAAGTTCTGGGAACACTTGATCCTGAGAAAAATATCTAGTTTTACATATTTACATAAAACTCACTGACCACATTTTTCAAGTACATACTTTCCAAGAAGGTGGCAATATCGCATCTGGATCGTGGCTCAAAACCAATCCTAAAGCTCGGCAAGCGTTCCACCGTACCTAACGTTAAATAAAAGATCTGTTTTTATTGTGGGTAAATAAAGCAAGAAATATTTACTTATTGCAGTAAGACATTTTGTCATATAGAGTCATATAATGGACATTAATGTACAAGCAATCGAGATGATAAGTTTGGATTAGATATAAATCTAATAGGAATATCTATTTATTTATTATATGAGTTAATATTATAGGAATATAATTATAAGAATTAATATATAATATATCTCTAAACTACTTCTAAAATTATCAGGACTTTTCCTCTTACTTTCATATCGTTTCCTAAAACAGCACATTTAATAAGTGCATCCAGCCCTAATGTTGTATCGGAAAGTATGCGCTTTTGTGGACACAGATATAAAATAGTTCCAATTGCTCTTACAGCGTTACACTTCACTTTATCATTGTCTTTTGCAGCCTTGACGCTTACATGATACAATTTGGGTAATAAATCTTCTAAAGGAAGTGGTTCTACCTCTTCGTGCTGTCTGAAAAAGATATAGATAGAAAAAATATGCTACCTAAAGAAGATGGTGAAGGAAGGAAGGAAGTCTGAAAGACAAACTTTTGCCTGGAAAGACAGTCGCACAAATTCGCCAATGCCCAAGCGCTTTTCACACGGACACCGAGATTTTTGTCCTCAAAAGCTGAGCAAACTGTATCAGCCAGATCCATGAGGAAGCCAGTGTCGTATTCCAATGCCGATAAAGTTACTAACATTCCTAACGCACGTAAGCCGGCTGCCCTTACAGCACTTTCTTCATCACGAACTGCTCCAAACAGTATTGTAATTATTAATATAACTTTTTGCCTCTGCAAATATAAATGAAAGTAAACATAAGCAAAATATTAGAGATTAAAAGTATTCAACTCGTGTAAATGTCGTATTTTTTAACAAGTACGCTTGAAATGTAATTGCTTTGAGATAAAGTAAAGTAAAAATCTGAATGTGATTATATCCCTTTTTATTGCAATCATTCTTACCGATAATTGTGTGAATACATTTCCACTGATGCTACCTAGACAATCGCAAGCAGCTTCTCGCAAAATGGTCTGCGATGTTTGGGCGAGTGATATCATAGGTTCAAATATAATATTCCAAAATAATATGCCACTGCTATGATAAGTCTCGGTATTTGCGAGGTAATCGGACATAATCTCTAAAACCCGACATGCGTGCAGTACCACTTGGCTTTCCGATTCCCCCACGATCGAAATTAAAGTCGTGGTCACTTTCTCCAAATGAGGATACACAAGGCTTCCTGCATTAAATGCCAGCCTCCCCATGAGTTTTAAAGACTGAAGTCGTACAGGTGTATTAACCGACTAAAATAGAGTAAACGTTAATTTTCCAGATTTGACCATCGGCTTTAATTACAAAAAGCTTTTAAATGTAAATCACACACGATACCTTACTGGATATATTTTCTAAGCAAATGCGAATCAGCAAACAAACGCTCTCATCTTTTGACATCAATGTGATCTCATTACAGCTATTTGTTGAATTTTCGATATCTTCGACATCTATTTCCTCCTCTTCCGTTCCATCGCTTGTGAAACCAGTGTCAAACTGTGAGGTTCCCGATCCTATTCCACCCACAGTTTGCTTAGCCAATATGCTTAATATTTCCTGAGTGATGGGTTCATTGGAGGCAAATGCTTCAAAAATGGATAGTGCCGCAACTCGTACAGTCGGATCTAAGAAAACAACTTAATTGTAATAACAATAAATTAAAAATTATGTAGAATAATAAATGCGATATATATATATATATATATACCTTTGTGAAATATATGCGGCTTACAATTCCTAATTAATTTGGTAGCCAAACCCGGTTTCAGTCGTTCGTATGATGTGCCTTGTACAAGAGCTGCCGTGCATTTTAATGCGTGCGTCAGTACAGCTACATTTTTTTCAGCTAGCAAAATTAATGACAATGTAAAATGCAATTCTTTGACCATTAAGCACACCGTCCCAAAGAATGTGATGAAAGAAGTATGATTGGTATCTTCGGCGTGTATCAAAAATGGTTTAGCACCTATCAGCAGTTCAGTTAATGTACACAATACGTTCTGTCGTACTTTCGACACAGGTTCAACTAATATACTTCTTGTCAATACTCGTGCGTCGTTTCGTGAACCGGTAGCTACGATTTGCGGCCAGTACCCGAAAATCTCTCTACTCTGTGTGATCTCTACGAGAGTATGCAATAAACGTACAGCTCCCAATCTTACTTTCGAATCAAAATGGACAGAATTATTCATTTCTGTATCTGAAGTATCTGAATCACTGGAATATTTGGAAATTCCCGTATGTTCTGGAAGAATATTATTTCCCGTATCAGATGCAGTTTTCTTGGAAGGTGTCTTCTTGGGCTTCGCTTTGTGATTTTTAAGATTCTTGCACTTGGGAACTACGTGAACACGTTCCGGGAGATTCATCGCAGCTGGACGAAGTAATTGCGGTTTCATGACTGAGTAACCTTTGATGCCGTAAAATAGAAATGCTTGCACCACTCCTAATATCTCTCCAACAAAATCGGGAGAACTAGGGATCATTTTTTCCAAAACCATGCAATGCAAAATGTGCAAGCATGAATTTACGATCTGTAAATACAAATAAAATGTATATATAATCAAGTTTATTTTTAAATTGCGTAGAAACTGAATTACATACCTTACTATAGTACAATTTATCGTCATTGTGGTATGGTAAAAGTGATAGAATATTAAAAATTATATCTTTTATCAAACATGTAAATTCGTCTGATAAGCAATAATTACTATTGTTTAGCACAATTTCTTCTAAACATCCAAGCGCATAAAAATTGATTTCAGACCATGGATTACATAGCGGATTTAAATGTTTCATTAGCAAACCTTTATCCCTGAGTAACAGACGTAGATGCTGAAACATAAAGCAGTTACCTAGTTTTAACGATATACCAATTTAATTTAAATAATAATCTGTTTGTCATTGGAGAAAAAACTGTGTACTAACATGATTGATATCATCAAAATGTCCAAAGTGCAAAAAGCTTTTTATAACGATCAACACATTGACCTGTGCCAGCGGTTCAGAGAATTCTAACGCTTCTAAGAGCCATCGTTTGCAAGCTGCAAATGTCCGGCCGTGGAGTTTGATGTTGCTTTGAGTTAGATTGTACAGAAATTTACAAACGTTTCGGACTAAAGATATTTCTGTAGGTAGAACAACTGCGCAAAGTTGATTCACCAACAATAGCACCGCCTGAAAACAGATTAAAATGTAATCTCAATAGATTGACAATAAAATAGCTCGAGATACAATCAATATAAAATGTCTCGTGTCACAGAAATACCAAATACGTCCTTACGTCATTATTTACAATATCGAGACATCTGTAATCCAGCTCGTTGAGATCGTTCAAATATACATTGATCTGTTTCTTATCACTGAGCTTCGTGCTAGTTAACGAAAGCAATCTCTCGATTAACGAAAAAAATTGTGTTGTGGTATCACTAATTGCACAATTTACGTGTAACGAGGCCATGATCACATTTACATAGTTTTGTTATCTAGGACGGCATAAATAACTTTAATAATTTATAATTCGTGTATGTACATTACTACGCGACATTGAACGATTCTAATAAATTGTAAATATGATGTTACTCCATTCGGTATGGTATGTATGTACAGTATAGTACATACAGTATTGCAACTCGACGAAGCAGGCCAAAAAAGGAGATTATCCTATCGACAATACACTTTTTCGGTAGGTACATTTTTCATGGTTCATATCTTGGCTAGAATACAAAGCTCTGCTTTATCGACCGTAACAAACCCGTCTTATCTACCTTATCGACAGTTTTTCAAAATAAAGCGGGGAGCACACACTTTTGCATAACGCATAATACGTAAGCATAAGAAAACTGATACACATGGTGCATAAGGAAATAGACCAATGCAGTTTTCTTATCTACTTTTATCCCAATATAGCGTCTCGAGTTGCGGCGAGCTGTCAGCTCGTCACAAGATGTATTTCATATAAGAGATATACCATTGGTACGAACGCGAAAACAAGTTCCCCTGAATTGCACAACAATAAAAACATCAATGAACCCTCCAAATCAAGATTTGGAAGCGTAATATAAAAGTATGATGTCGATGTGTATCGTGCGTATGTATGCGTGCAATGTTAGGTGCTATCCTTGCCTATATCCTTGTTTATACAAGGACAGATATAGGTCGATAACATAGTGTTAAGGCCATTGCACGTAACAAAGTTTTAGTCATAATTGTAAGGTTGTAAGAAAATAGACCAATCACAGTCGATTATTCTCCTCGCGCTTGAAGAATAATCAAGTGTGATTGGTCTATTTTCTTACGGCCTTACGATTAAAACTAAAACTTTGTTACGTGCAATGGCCTTAAGCGACGGGAAAAATTAACGGAGCCCGACCGGGACTCGAACTCGGGATCCTTCGCTCACACGCCTATAGCACTTGGGCTGCTACCCCACGACTGCTCCACTACCCACTACTACGCTAACTTCTCCGATCTCCCATCAATACTGGCCCTACGGCCCTAAATCTCCTACAATAGAAAATGGCAATTTTGTCGGTTATACAGACGGCTCCAGCATCACTTTAAAAATTGTTATATTTACATAGATACATATTTTCTCACGGATATTATCATTTCAAGTATGTACATATTATAATTTCAGATATTTTCAATTCCTTCAGTATATGTGACCCGACAGATGGTTGAAAAGATAATATACGTTATATGTACTCAGGCACTCCAGCTTTGAGTAGCATTATTAGCCTCGATAACTTTGCAGTATGTCATGTCTCGTTCAAATCTACAGATATTGGCGCATATTGGGAATTATAGCATTATTAGTATCATACAATCATAGATTGCACGAAGGTCACAGGTAAAATGACTTTCTCAATAAGAACATTTAGGTTTCTAATTTAAAAAGAGTTTAAACTTTATTTAAATACGTGTGAGAAGTTACATTCGTGAAAATTTTATTTAATTCAGTTAATTACTATCATTCATTAATAACGTGAATTTCTTTAATAACAGAGATATAATATTAAAGAGAGGTATTTATAAAGAAATACTGTACAACAATCATAAATCACAATTCTAATCATTGTAGAAACATATGGCAACATATGCTGAAATTATGACATCCAAAAGACGATATTAATAATGTACGAAATCAAGTCTTTCAATAACTTACATTGGTCAATACGCTGTCCGTGCCGACGCGGAACATCTATATAAACTATATTTATACTATATTTATTACAGTAACAAAAAAAGGATAATTCATTATAGAATTATCCCTTTGAATGTATATTTGTGACGTACGTAGTTGCTTTCATTGGCGTTAATAACTGCGTACGAAATGCTGTTCTTTATAAACTGTCAATTGTGAGCTTTATGCAGCTCTATGTACGCGCGGTACGCACGGAATGCGCGAATGAACGCTGCGATATACGTTGATAAGCATATCAAATGCTTCTTACGTTTAGTACCTTACGCGAGAGTGTTTTGCGATTGTATAATAAATAAAAAATGTTCTTCTACGTGTAAAAAAACGATTAAGTAATTTAATGCGCATCTCTGTGCATGCATGCATCATATTTGATCGCACAATTTGGCAGTTAAAAGGAATGGTAACATACAAGTGGATCAGACGCTAGAATCATTAGCAAATTTTACACATGCGTAAACGTTGCAACATTCCGAGAACCTTGTACTATGAAGCCTAGAAAAATCTTAACTTTCATTGTTACCTTAAATCTCAACTTTCATTGTTACCAATCAACTTTCTAATTCTTTCTGCACTAATTGTCATTAAATTGTGTCGATTAATTAATGTACAATTATGCTTTCTCGAACTAGTCTCTAAAACTTTACCATTGTTTCGTTTAAGATCACAATAATATAGTGTTATTCGTGAATAATTTCCATCGCTGAATAACATTATTCACATTCAAATACAGGTTTGCGCTATGCATTTCCGGAATATGGAAATTTACGATTGGTTCGGTTGACAAGCCACGTATATCGGTCTCGCCTTTTCTTTCGCCAAGTCCGTGGCTTTCTTAGCGGCGTCTTTCACCTTCTCCGCTTTACCCTGTAAAGAATGCTGCAAGTCCTCCGCGAGACTCGGCTTCGTCGTAACTCCATCATCCGCCGCGCTGTAGCCGGCTTGCATGGAGAAACTTGTCTGCGGCAATTGCGGATTTAGAAACTGCGCTGTGTGGGGAAACATATTCGCGAGGACGTAATTGAAGCCTTCCGACATCTTGGCGCAATTCTTTTTAAATCGATCTAAGCCGAAGGCTTGAATTGCTCTGCTGAAACCGAAGACTTGACTGTCGATCCACGCCGATCTCTTTGCAACTGTCCATTCTGGATTCTCCTCGGAGATCTGATAAACCACTTTCTCGACGATGCTCTGTAAGAAATATTATAATTCTGTTAAAATCCTGCATGAGAGATTATCCAACATAAATCGACAAGAATCATAATCACTTGCTCTATTTCAGAGTTATTAATCTGTGAACATTTTTAAAAAGTAATTAACACTGGGTGCGTTCAGCCGATACTCCGCAAGCCTAGCAATCGTGAGCAGTCGCTCGTTTTCGCTCGTTTCCTCTCCTTCGACCCAATGGATTAAAAGGAGAGGAAACGAGCGACTGCTCACGATTGCTAGGCTAGCGGAGTATCGGCTGAACGCACCTACTGTGCAGATACCATAGGCCTTTTAAGACACAGTTGATTTTTTGTATTTTACAGTTTTTTCCCTGACATTTCAACAAAATTGCAACAGTTCCGGCCTTATATAAATATATAAACACCTTTTTGAAATCTTAAAGATAATACATGAATTTTTATAGATTTTTTGTAACACAGAAACACTTTCAAAAACTTAGACTTAAAAGTCCCAGGGTATCTAGGTGAGTACTCCAAAAATACAGTATCTACTTATTGTTAGTGTTAATATCAAATAGATTAAAGAATCTATAAACAATCTTTAAACAAAAGTTAGTATAAGTTATATTCTGTACACGCAAGCATACTACTTTAGTTTTAAGCATGTGTTAATTCATTAGAAAATAAGTTCTGCTGAAACAAAACACTTTTTAACTGCCTATTTCTCCAAAGTTCATTTACCTACCATGACTTTGGTGTATCCCAAATTCCTCGTGTAGGTGGTCAACGTTTTCGCTTCTGGATCAACAATACTCTCCTCTACAATTTTGACAATGTTTTTACTGATAAATCTCTCACCCCATTTCGGCACTCTGTTGGTTTTTGTCAACAATCGTTTGGAGTAGAGCTTTCCGTCTGTGACTTCTCTGGCGATCGTATCCTCGGAGAGAACGTGTGAACTGGAAATCCATGTTGTACGTGAGTTATCAGTGTTATGCTTGACGTTATATAATATTTGTGTTTCGATAACACGCACGTGACGTAACGCGCGTCCGGTTGTTACCTGTGCGGATTGGGGTATCTCTGAAAGAATCCACGAACAACCTGCGTCCAGTCGAACTTGAAGACCGTGATGTTCTCGTAATACCTCACCATCGTGCACGACGCGTCCGCTTTTACTCGGCAGATTTCGCGAGAAAAGTCTACGGGAAAGAAAAGGCGTCGCGTACGATGGCGCGAATCCTCGACAAATTGTCGACGAAAGAGTGATGGAGATTATCGCGAGGACACGATCGACGACGGATCAGAGTCCGCGGCGAATGCGCCGCATATCGAGCGTAGCGCGGATCGCGCACGATTACGTGAATCACGGCAATGTACGGCGTACGGCAATGAAAGCACGGCTGGGACAGCTGGGAATTACGAACACAAAAGATAGCCGCCGCCTATGGTCGAGTGGGTTCCACTCAATTGATGACGCGTCGCCAATTGGCTGATTTAAAGGGTTGACAGGAGTCATTTATTACTAGAATCGTAAAATCCATATTACGGCCAAAATAATGAGAAAATCGCACTTTAACTATGTTATTCGTAATCAGCAGCATCGCCTTCAAACAGCTACAGAGCGATTTTTTGGAAAAATGGTCAAAATAAAAAGTAAATCTGAAGAATAGTGGCCTCCTCACCGATTTCGTTGAACTTAAACTTAATCGACGCGTTTTTGCACAAAACGACCGAATCTGGCAGAAAAAAATGTCGCTCTGCCCCGCGAAGTGAGATATTAAACGTAAAAGTTGACAAGAATCAGATGATTCCTGTCATACCGACGAGCTGTAGCGACTACGAACATGTCTTGCAGCCATATGCGCATACCTTTAAGGTGGAAGCACATAAAATTGCAGGAGCCTTGAGCAGAATGCAGAAGCCATATGCGCATGCGCTATGGTATTTCTAGAGCTCTACAGATACCACAGCGCATGCGCATATGGCTTCTGCATTCTGGTCATGGCTCCTGCAATTTTATGTGCTTCCACCTTTAAGGTGCCAATTCATGGGACGCTGAAAAACAGCGTTGAGCGACGTCACGTGACATCACTATGATGCCAGCGTCAAGAAAGAGAAGTTGGATTTTTCCAACTTCAAGCGTCAAAGCCAAAGCAGCGCGAAGACGCCGAAATTTTGACGCTGTTTTCCTTTTCATGAATTTCAATTGACGCCGGCGTCAATTGTGGTCATGCGATCTTCTTGCCGCTGAAAATGAGCGTCGAGCGTCAGCATGAAAAGGCACCTTTACGGTGAAATTTCATGGGCAGTGAAAAGCAGCAGCAGATCGTACTGATTGGCTATAAAATAGAGGAGTTCTAGAAACTCGAGAACTCGAGAACTTCTCTATTTTGTAGCCAATTAGTACGATCTGCTGCTGCTTTTCACTGTCCATGAAATTTCACCTTTAACATAAAGGCCTTCACACATAAAATGCCGTAAGGGCGTAAATCGTAAGAGTAAGAAAATTGATCAATCTTAATCAAGTATTTTCACCTACTGAAGTTACGAATAGCGCAATACTTGATTGGGATTGGTCAATTTTCTTATCCTTATGTTTTACGTTCTTACGCGATTTTATGTGTGAAGGCCTTAACATAAATGATATACTTTTGTTTTATTAAGGTGCGATTTCATTGACGCACGTCAAGAAAATGTAGTGGGGGAAGAAGTTTAGGCTGTCTCAGCTTTTTAGCGTACCACAAAATTCAACGGAACTTCTTCCCCCACTACATTTTCTTGACGCTGCCGCTGGTTTCTAGCGTCAATGAAATCGCACCTTTATAAGTTATCGTGCCAAAATGCAGCTGCACGAGTTTTTGGCAGTGACTCACGATAAAGACAAATTAATAAATTATTTAATGGAACATAATGTGATAAGCAACGAAATATATTGTCCGAAGTGCAATAATAAATTAAAGTTAAACAGAGATAATTTCTCATTTCGTTGTCGGAAAGTATTATACGAGAAAAATAAACATAAAAAATATGTGAAGAAACAATGCACATTTAAAGGAAGTGTTAGATTTGATACATGGTTCAGCAAATCTAACTTAAGCCTGGAAACAATATGCAGGATGACTGCATATTTTATTATGTTAAGACCTCCGAGACTTATGTTTTTGTGCACAGAGTTACAACTTTCTCAGCACTCGGTTTTTGACTGGATTTCTTTTTGCCGAGAAGTAAGTATAATTTAATATACTTCATACAATGAATATATGTTCAATAGATATATATTTATAGAATTTGTTATGTTGATTTGTCATAATAGGTTTGCATATATTGGGCCAAAAAGAACTCAACGAAACTTGGAGGGCCCAATATAATCGTCGAAATAGACGAAGCAAAAATCGGCAAAAAGAAGTACAATTGTGGCCGAATAATCGAGGGAAAGTGGATTTTCGGTGGATACGAACGTGGCACAAAAAAAATTTTTATTGTGCCAGTGCAAGACCGCACGGAAAAAACTCTGCTTGAGCTGATCAAGGAGTGGATTCTACCTGGGACGACGATAATGTCAGATTGTTGGAAGTTGTACAACTGTTTAAACAGTGAAGGCTTCCAACATCTAACAGAAAATCATTCGATGAATTTCGTCGACCTAGATGCCGGTAATTACATTGCAAATATATAAAGAGCAACATATGCATTTGAAATACACAACACTAAACTTAGCAATTTCTATTTGTTTGTCTATTCAGGAGCCCACACTCAGCATATTGAACGTGTTTGGAGAGAAGTAAAGGCTAATATCCCACAGTATGGAATGCGTTCTTCGCATTTAGTGGGATATTTAGCTGAATATTTCTTCAAACGTGTTCATGCTTATGAAGATCGCTTAAGCAGTTTTTTCCGTGCAATTGCGGAATTGTGTCCACCGAAAACTGTGGACGATGAAGCAGATGTCTCGGAGGCTACATAATTACAAGTTTAAGTTAGATCTGCTAAACCATGTATTAAATCTAACACTTTCTCTAAATGTGCATTGTTTCTTCACATATTTTTTATGTTTTTTTTTCTTATATAATACTTTTCGACAACGAAATGAGAAATTATTTCTGTTTAATTTTAATTTATTATTGCACTTTGGATAATGTATTTTGTTACTTATCACATTATTACTACGTTTACGCGAGCGTTACTTCTGTAATAACTTACGATATATCACTCGTTTACGCGGAATAAATTATTATCGTAAGATTACTACAAAATCCCGTTTACGCGAAGGAATTATCGTAAGTTACTACAGAAGTAACGCTCGCGTAAACGTAGTAAATGTTCTATTAAATAATAATTTATTAATTTGTCTATCATAAATTATATTAATACTAGCTGGTTACCCGGGCTTCGCCCGGGAGTCGTTTTTCTTAAAACGACTTCATTTATGTTTCAATATCCTTATTGTGAACTAACATAAGGAGTGTTCGTGGATTAAACATGTCGTAACCAATCTTTTTCTGCTCGGTCAATTATTTCCAGAAAAATTTGAAAAATTTTTGATACTGGTTTCCAAAAAGATCGATAACGAAAAATTATATACTTTATGGCACTCCCCGGGAAATTCTACTCCTGTTTTATATACAATTTTTTAAGATTCGGTCAATTATTTCCCGAAAAATTGGAAAAACTTTGGATACCGGTTTGAAAATAGATGGGTAACGAAAAACTATACAGTTTATAGCACTCCCCGGGAAATTCTACCTCTGTTTTATATACAATTCTTTAAGATTCGGTCAATTATTTCCTGAAAATTGGAAAAATTTTTGATACTGGTTCCCAAAAAGATCGGTAACGAAAAACTATACGCTCTATAACACTCCCCGGAAAATTTTACCCCTGTTTTATATACAATTCTTTAAGATTCGGTCAATTAATTCCCAAAAAATTAAAAAAATTTTTGATATTGGTTTTCCAAAAGATCGGTAACAAAAAATTATACATTTTATGCCACTCCCCGGAAAATTCTACCTCTGTTTTATATACAATTCTTTAAGATTCGGTCAATTATTTCCTGAAAATTGGAAAAATTTCGAATACCGGTTCCCAAAAAGATCGATAACGAAAAACTATACGCTCTATAACACTCCCCGGAAAATTTTACCCTTATTTTATATTATTATGGTAAAAATTCGGTCGAATAGTTTAAGAGTGTATAAAGAACATACATACAGACATTCTATTTTATATATATAGATAATAGTATGATATAATAGCTGGTTACCCGGGCTTTGCCTTGGAGGACATATGTAATAAGACACGCAAATAGTCTCTCTCTCTCTCTCTCTCTCTCTCTCTCTCTCTCTCTCTCTCTCTGTCTCTCTCTCTCTCTCTCTCTGTCTCAAATGCTATAAATCGAAAAATATTACTTTTTTATCGACTAAAGTTTAATTCTGTCGTATACAATTTGAGATTCACTTAATTATTTCCTAAAAAATTGGAAAAATTTCGTAACCGATTTCCAAAAAGATACCGGTTCCCAAAAAAATCGGTAACGAAAAACTACAGTTTATAGCACTTCCCGGGAAATTCTACCCCTGTTTTATATACAATTCTTTATAATTCGATCAATTATTTCCCGAAAATTTCGAAACTTCTGATACCGATTCCCAAAAAAATCGGTAACGAAAAATTATGTACTTTATAGCACTCTCCGGGAAATTCTACCCCTACTTT